ACAAAAATACTAACTTATTTGATGTGCGTGATCTATAAGTGAGTTGCATATGTCCGGTATTTATGTTGTAACCATGAATTTACAAGTTATTGGATTAATTAGATTGACTCTTCTTTTTCATGAAAGAAAATGAAAAAAAAAAAAGGAAAAAGAAAAATAAGAGAGTTTCTAACGTGGCAAGCAAATCCATGCTGCCATGGATAAAGATTAAAGTGCTCTAAGATTAGTTAATCCATACTTTGTAGAATTTCTCTTGGGTAATTTGCTAATTATCATAACAATCATTGATGAGGTAGATTTCTACTTTCTAGTGGTTCCATCCACGGTGGCTCCTGGAAATTGAAAATAACCAGAAACAACTAAGAAATAAGATATACAAATTTCACAACATAACCATTTTAATTCATGATCATTTTCAAGGCCTGCTTTGGAGATGATCCCTAACTCAATTTTTATTTTTTTTCGGTTCAACGATCAGGGATATATGGATTAGTTTACGCGAACTTCAATTAATCTTATTTTTGGTTAGGTCAAAATAGGCTATCCAGGACTAGGGTATTTGTAAGGGATAAATTTCTCAAGATCTAGCTTTAAAGGATTGTCAAAATTTAAATTCAAAACATCTAATTTTATAATTTGTTACTATTATTACTTGAAGCTAACTCATACTATTGTATGTTCAACATTGATCATCTTGTCGCTGTCTAGCATTGGAACAAATCAGTATGGACTCGGTCTATGACATAATTTAAGGTATTTTTTCATTGATACACAATGAGTGACATAAACCCCAAATGTTTTTTTAGGAGCAGTGATTTCTTTGTGTCTCATTGTTATCCGATGCGTCACTTTTACTTTACTTCTATGACTCGTTTGAGAGAGAGGGGGGGGTGTGGATGTAATATTTTAAGTGTGATGGATTTAAATGATTAATATTCCGTTCGGTAAGAAAGATGAAAAATATGAATGATGAAAAGTAGGAGAGATACATTTTTTATTCTTTAAAGATAAAAAATAGAAATCATACATTTTTTTTCCTTTGTGTTTAGTTGAATGGATGAAAAATAAAAATGATTAATTTTTTTTTTTGTGCTGGCTAAGATTACGGATGACAATCGAGTCATGTTGAGTCATAAAATTATGAGTATTTTATATTTCTTATTCGCGTGTCAGATCATTTTTAAGTTTGTGTCATAAAATTCGAGTCATGTCATCGTGTTAAGTCGAAAATTTGTATCCCTAATTAAGATGAAAAAAATATTTTTTTTAATTTAAAATTTTTATTTTTATTTTTAAAATTTTTTAATATATATATACATATTTTATTATTATATTTTTATATGAAGTTAATGTATACATAATATATAGACAAATAAGATACATCTGAACACAAATAATTAATTTTTCATCCACTTTTCTTCTGATTTTAGAGGATTGATTTTGGTGAGTTGGAAAAGAAAGTTAATTCATCCATTTTTTTATCTTTTTTATTTTTATCTTTATCAAATATAATATTTTATTTATCCCTCTAATTTTTTATCCTTAAAATTTTTTATTTTTTCATCTTTCTATCACCGAAGGGAGCAAAAGTGACCAATTTTAGAGAATTTGGATATAATTTACACTAAGATTAACGGGAGGATGATTGCACTAGGATTGCCACGTGTAAAATTGATAGCCACGTGTAAAAACAGACCGTTGGGGTTGGCGCCAGTCGATTACGTCAGCTCCGATGTCGTAGTAGCTAATGGAGGGGTCCACACAACGGACAAATGGCATTAGTTTAATTTAGTGGACATGGATCGCCGCGTAAAAAGGCCAACCCCGCTCATGTCATGGGAAACGTGAGGTTAGTTGTTGATTGATTTTTGAGCAACGTTTAATGGATTTAAAAATTAAATTTAAAAATTTTAATTATGAAATAAATAGTGAGTTTCAATAAATACTGAAATTCACAGTAAAATTAATGATTGAAATTATTAAGTCTAATTTTTAACTTCATGTAACATTATTCTTAAATTTTTAGTAGTTGGAGCCAACTAAGACTCGCCAACCACCCCCCTAAAGCTTACCCTTTTTTTTTTTAATTTCCTAGTTTAATGCTAAAACGTAAAGATCATCATTTATTGAGTTTGGTTGGTCTGTGTGTTTTACCTCCACCTCCAAGATTTCATCATCGGAGAATCACCAACAATATTATACTTTTTTAAATCCAAAGCATATTTTTTTAAAAAGAAAATAAGTAATAAAATTTTATAACTAGCTTCAATAAGCTCTCTATTTAATTGAGAAATAGACTTTATAATAAATAATATTTAACGAAGAACATATACATGACATTCTTTCATTTAGTAGTATCACTCACCTTCTCGTCAAACACACCTTCCACAAACATCATAATGTGTAGGGATAGCAACTTCACGTTAAACGTGAGTGTTGGAGGTGTGCGTGAGTGTTTATTTTATGAGTAGTGTTATACACCTTAAATTTGTATCACAAATTAAGGAGAACTATTGAATCAGTGGGTTCCATCAATTTTTTTAAATGGAGACCACAGACCCAATAATTCTCTTTGATTTTAATTATAAATTTGAGATACATATCATTACTCTTATTTCATTGTCGAAGTGGTCATGTGCATCTGAATGAGTGTAATGTGGTAAGAGCAAAAGCGAAGAGAGAGGGAAATAAGACATCAGGAGACAGCAACGACTGAAAGGAGAGAAAGTCAATTTTGCCAATTAGAATAGGGAGAGAGATAGATAGCAACGGTTGAAGGGAGAAAGATAATTTGATTTTGGAAAGCTATTAAGGTATAAATTGAGTGAAAATTTTCAAAGCTTTGCATTTAGAATGAAAAATTCGAAGAGAGAAAAAAAAAAAGATACAGATAGGGGGAGATTTAAGGAGAGTTAAACATGGAACAAATTTTGATATTTATATTTTGGACAAAAAATAGAATTCTCAATTTAATTTGATACATCGGAACAAAAATATTAAAATAATTTAAGACGTCAATAACTTGAGATAAATTAAGATAATTTAGTTTGTCAGATGAAGTTATTTTATAATTCGAATTAACCTGATCTATTTTTTGTCTTTGATTTAAAAACAACTCTACTTATAATATTATTGAATGAAAAAGAATTAATTATATATAAATAAAAAAAAATGAAATGAAAAAATCCTCATAACTCCTTGGGTGTAGGATATTGTAAATTATGAATAGCCATGTAATTACAGCGACAGCGGTGAGATCAAAGATCAAGTACATGTGAATGGCATTGAAAGCGAAAGGTGGAAGATACCCTTTGCTAAACCGTGTTCACACCTATTTTATTGTGCAAGATTCGAAGCAAACCCCTTTTCACACCTAGAGAGAGGACCTTTTCAGGGTTTGGCTCCTAGCCGGCTCTGCTGAAATTCCGGCTTCGCTTGTTTCTATTGGCTTGAATGGTCATGTATTACTTTTCAAAATTCAATGGAATTGTTTGTTTTTACTTAATTCAGTGATTTTATTTGGTGGTATGATGGATCATAATTATTGGATTGATAGTAAATTTTAACTAATAGTAGGGTTCACTGTCAATTTAATGACAAAAAATGATAAAATCACCCCATAAGATCAACCCATGTAACATTGTCCTCTCCAACAATATATGATAATAAGGATGACAATAAGTAGCGTTCATCGAATGAGGTCTATATTGCGTTTTGTAAAATTCGATTTAGATTAATAGAATAATGATACACATTTTAAATAAAAATTCAAAAAATTACAACTTAAATGTATATCATCTCGTGAATAAGTAAGTCCCATCAATTTTTTAGTGGGACTCATTCATTCAACATTCATGCATTTAAGTTATAATTTTTTGATTTTATTTATGTTGTATACTTGTATGGCATTTTCCTTCTTTTTATTATGCTTTCTCATAATGGTAAATTATTTATCAATAATATATATGAATTCCACTTCCCCGATTTGTTTTTGGTCCCCTCGCCTAAATAAGATGAATGATTTATTATTAAATAAAATTTAAAGAAACATGTATTGGAGAATATTTCGATCCATATAAAATTGGGTTTAATTTGTCGTATTTGAATTTATCAAATGTGAGATTACGAGATCAATTACGACTAAACCCGAGAATTGATATTTTATAGTCATCATCATTACATTTTTTGTTCTACCGTTTATTTTGGACCTATTTCAAGCATGATTTGAAATATTTCCTCTTTTATTTGAATTTTAAACATTAATATTATTGGGACATAATTTTGAGTAATAATGCATTATGCCTATTACATTAACAGTGTAGTGCATTTAATACTAAAACCTACTAATAATTTAATGGCAACAATCATTATATTCTAATAATATTGTTCTAATTTTAATTTTGTTGCAATAATATTATTTTAAAATGATATTCAATTTGTATTATGGATTTAGAGAATTGTAATATTCTTTGATAGATTATAAAATTACTAACACTTTCTATATAATAAGTAGATTCAATCGGATTACAATACGATTAATTAATCATAATTAAAATTGATAATACCAAAATATCAAGTGAGATGACTTAGAAATTAAAGCATAACACATTTAATTAACTCGTGAATCCAAATCAAAATAAAATTCACAATTGATCATATGTAAGGTTGTCGCCACAATAGTCCCATCCCATTCCAATGGACAATTCAAAGCGGAAGAGAGAGTAGACGAGCCGAGCCGAGAGTTCCTTCAAGCAACAAATAAAGTGTCGGCGGCGTCAAAGTATGCCTTTGGCCGGGACCAACCCGAAACCGGTGGGACTTTGGTAGATAAGGTCAAACCGGCTACAACCTGCCAGCTAGGACACCCATCTCTTTCCAGATCTCCCTCATTCGTTTGTCTACTCTCTCTCTCTCTCCTCACCACCTTCCCCCCCCCCCCCCCTCCATATATATATATATATATATACCACCAACCTCTCCATTTCCAAAACCTTGATCACCATTATCAAACACAATTGTTTTCAGAATTAAAAAAAAAATGGGAAATTGCATCAGAAAAGAGTCCTCCATGCAATGGGGCGGCGAAGATTGGGGATCTCCGGCTTCAGAACATCTCTTTTCCGGCGATACTTCAAAGCTAACGAAGAAGTTAGAAGAAGATAAAAGACTTCTAGAAAAAAGCTCGGAAGGTTTTCCATTTCATGAGTCATCGTCTAAGACGCCAGTGACGGAAGTGAAGATCAAGATCACGAAGAAGCAGTTGGAGAAACTGTTGGGCAGCGCCGACGTACAGGGGTTGTCGGTTGGGCAGGTACTTGCTCAGTTGATGGACGTCAGTGATGGATATGAGACGCATCAACGGCAATGGAGGCCTGTCTTACAGAGCATACCGGAGGTGGAATGAGTTGATCGGCGCGTAGGTATTTTAGTGAAGGTGTGAATACGAGGTCTTTTGTAAGGAACCTCTCTGCCTCCATTGGAAGTGGTAAATAGACGAATGGGGTTAGAGGGGTCAGAGAGGTTTTTTGTGATTTTTTGTTGAGGCCATGTACATTAGTGTATATGTTTTTCGAGAATTATTGAAAAGTTATTTTATGTTTGTGTGTGTGTTTAAATTGTTCAATAGTTATTGACAAGTTCTCTCTCTCACAATGGTTAGATTTTGTTTTCTTTTTTTTTTTTGTTTTTATTTAATAAACAAAATGTTCAAATCATTATATGTATTTCGATTAATTTCTTCTTCAATCTAATCGAAATTAGATCATTTAAGCTGAGATTAACTTATTTATAACCCAATTTTAAAAGATTGTCAAAATTTAAACTCAACTAAGTTTTAAACTAAACGTGTATTCAATCATAAAGTTCTATCTTAGGATGTCCGATAGTAAAATATACAACCTTATATGTAATGAGAATAGCACTATCATACCCAAATAGGATCCTATAAAAAAATTATCCATTATAATTATATTTTAATTTTTTTGTACAAATAATAAAATATAAAAGAAATTTACACGTCTTCTTTGTTTTAATTAATTAATAGAAAATATAAAAGTGCGGTAGTTGAACCCGTTTGGTAGAAAGCCCACAAACTAGTTGACTGGTTTGAACCCGGTGACCCAAGGCCATGGGTCCTTATGCTGGCTAACTTTGTATCAAGATTTGTGAGCGGCCAATACTGATTGGCCTGCTTTCCCGGCCCACCTCAGGAACAGGCCGTCGATTGACTTGGCCTGGTATATCGTGGGTTCTTTCGAGGAGACTATTTTAGTAATCTCATCATTTATTTATCAAGATTATCACACCTCTCAACTCAACTCGATCATGAGATGCGTTCTAGGAAGTCAATTGGAAACAGGTTGTAAACCCACCTGGCTTAGATATCTTTGACCCACGATCTTCAACGAAACATATCGATCGCGTGGATTGAGCAGCTTGTGTCAAAATTTCACGGCATAGTATTAAAAAATATTTAATTTGTTAATTAATTATATTGTATTGAATTTATTCACTCAAATTTAAAATATATATATAATTTTTTTAATTTTATATCATATGCGTGCCATTTTAATGCACCCTGTACCTGTCATGTTTGTTGACACCCTTATCTTCAACCCCATTCCATGTGACAGGCCGTTACCTGATCATCGATGTCGTCGCTCCTGATTTATAAAAAAAATTAAGAAAAGAAAAGAAAAGAAAACAGGGTATTAAAGTCAAAAAAACCCCAACTATCCTCATTAAACTCCGTAATCCTCTCTCTCTCTCTCTGGTGAGGTTTCAAATTGCTATCTCGGCTCAATCTTCACTTTATCTTTAATGCTCCAAATCCACCTCAACACACTTGTTAAAGGTACGATGTTTCTCAACCCTACCTTCAAATATCTATGTAGTTATTGTGGTTATGATTTTATGCTTTACGCTACGCGGAGGAAGAGGAAAAATAATTATTGAATATGTTCGACGGTAGTTACTGAAAAGTTTGTTGAATGCTTCAAAGTAGGGTTTTGATGAGGTAAAATACTGAGTTTTTGGATTTAATGTCTTTTTTTGTTATGAAAAGTTCTGGTGTTTTACTCTTGTTTTTGCTTGCGTGAGTTTGTTTGTTTGTTTCGTGACCTTTGTTAATTCATTGTATTATGTACAAAATAGAGTGCAATTCTTATTTTAATTGTGGAAATTATTATGTTTTAGCTGAGAAAATTATAATCACCCACATAATATAATGTCGACGGAATGCAATTACGTCCTGTTTTGTGCGTGTATGCATATACTAGCAATAACCTGCGTCCCAAGACACTATACAATACTAAGAATTTGAGTATTGATCTTACAATATTTATATTTTTTATAGTAATTTATTTATTTTTAAAATGAATAGAGAGAAAATAACGAAGAGGTAGGGAATGAAGAGAGGGGTAGATGTGGATTAGTGGAGTTGCGTGGCATTGTAGAGTGTATAGCTTGAGTTGATTTTTTGAGCACAAAAGCGAATGGGAATGAATTTTGTACAATTGGATCAAAGTAAATAAAAACTAGAACAATCTTGACTATTGTTGTGCTTTTATAAGTTGAGAATTCAACTTTATAGCTGTAATATTATATAGATATGTGCCCAAGTTGGAAAACCATAAGGAAGAAGATGCATCTGTGCTTACTTGGGTGAATGTTTCTGTCTATACCAGTAGAGCAGAGTAAGATAAGGGAGTAGTTTCTGTAACAAGCATCTATATGGTATTCGTGGTCTCTTTTTGATGCTTGGCTGTTCACTCAGGACTTTTCATGAAGGAAAACTTTTGTTTAACATTTTGGGAAAGACCACCTATTTGTTCTCTTTACCAGGTTCGGCATGGAATCATAAATCGGTCCTGTTTTTCATGATATTTGATTCTCTGGGGAACATTAATCATTTAGAGTGAAAAGGCACCTTTTAGTCTGTATTGCCAGCAAATTCAAAGGTGAAGTTGATGCATGAATGAGAAGGGAAAAATAAGGGTAAAAATGATTTTTTTTGGAGGCAAACTAAATTTTGGCATGTGCAACAAGGATTCTATTGCTAACATATCATTTTTTCTAGTCCAGGAAAATAATGCTATTTTGTCGCCAATTCCTACATGGATTTCTGCATTGAATTGTTGTCATGGAATAAGAAGTTTTCCTTGTCTGATATCAAGCTGTGAACTCAACTCATGTGTCAGAAACTCTATTCCCTCAAGGATGTCTTAAATATGTTCTCTTCTATTATGTTTGTTGTTTTGTTTTGCATGCTTGTTTGTTGTCTCCCCTCTCAGTCTGCAGTTATGTTTGCATTTCATGGAACCTAATGCGTATAACCTCCATTCCATGTTTACATTTTCACAAGCATACACTGTTGAAGTTTTTGAAATCTCAGCAGGAAAAAAAACTAGATTAATGATGTGAAATCTGGACTTGTCGTATAATGAAATTACAATAAATTTTAGTAATAAACTGCTTATAGGAATTTATTGGGTGTCTGACATGCTTGTTCAGGTGCTAGGATTTGTACTTGTAAAAATGGAACTACTTTGTGGAAGTTAAGATGTGAAGTGACATAAATAGTTTGTATTTTTATATTTGGACTACAGGCTTCACTCTACTCCTAGAACTTCTATATGTTCTTAGGGAAGCACACTCCTGCCCCGGGGGGGGAGAGAATACGAGGCATGGAAAAGTTATTCCAAGCGAGGGAAGTTTCCAGGCCCTATGTGGATAGGATTCCCTCAGCTGTTTCTTCCTCTGTCTCCCCATTACTTCCCATTAAGAGATTTAAATTCCCCATGGCTCCCATTTCTCCCATTTTTCTTTCCCTCTTTCCTTCCTCCTTCCTTTTTTTAGGTGGAACTATATCATGGAAGTTTAAAAGTGAAGTTGTGTGGTAGCAGCGATGGAATTGTGGCTTAATGATGGGATTAGTTCAGTCTATCTTATTATTTTAGGCTTTTAGGTATACAACACAGACTATGCATTCAGGTGTTGGCTTTTCAAGCTTGGTGCTTGAGCAAATGTTGAGTAAATAAATGTGAGCTCGTTTGCAAGCTGGCCTGCTAACACTCTAATATAGTCAATAGGGAGACATTATTAATGCATAACCACTACAAACTACATTTTAATTTAGAGTTACATGGTGGCTGTAGAGGTATGCAGAGTAATTTTTAGCATTCAAAGATCTGGATTCATGGTCTATTCGTCATTCAAGGTGATTCTTTCGTAGCAAGTGTGGGGTACTGCTGAGAATTACATGCGTACATAGTAATTTTTGGTGGTGGAAGACAGAAAGCTAAGGGATTTATGTCATACAGTTGGTGGTTGGCTTGATTGGTGAAAAGAAGATCTAATCATCAAAAAACCTTTTTGCAGTATGTGATAGATATATTCAAGCAAACCATCAAAGTTCTTTTTCTTTTTTAATTTCAAAAAAAAAAAAAAGTCGTTGAATTCAAATATGTGTTTGTATATAAAGGACAAATCGCTGAAGAAATGGGGAATAGCATCAGTTCCTTATCAGTGGTATTATGATGCATCTTGAGAACATAGCTGAAATTGTTTCAACCGAGCATTTATTATAGGCATTAGAGCCGGATGGTGAGATCTTACCATAACTGTTTCTTCTTTTATTTCCCATAACCTTTTTATTTTCTATTGGAAGCCCATACACATATGCTTAAAAGACTCTATTAGTGGAAGCATGTCTTGCATTTTGACATGCCAGGTGTAATCTGTCATATTTGGTATGTCTTTACGAACTCAACAAAGATCGTCTCTCTTTTGCAGGGCAGATGGACTGTAAAAAATATTTGCTGTGAAGGCAAGAGATTTTGCTAGTGTTTCCGAAGATGAACCAAGGGGACAACCCTGATACCCCACCAGCTGTCCCTTTGAAGCGAAAACGTGGTCGCCCGCGGAAGGATCAGAGTCTGAAACGTGTGAAAGTTACTCCTGTGCCACCAGGACTTGAAGGGGTGAATGGAAATCAGCCCCATCAAATAGGTCCAGTGGATGATGCAAAAGATGGCATGGTGGGCCAGGCGGTTACAGGTGTTGTTGAGGCAGAATTTGATGCTGGTTATTTACTCAGTGTTAGGGTCGGAAACTCCAATACCAGTCTCAGGGGTCTAGTTTTCAAGCCAGGACATTATGTTCCTGTCACAGCAGAAAATGATGTGGTCCCGCATGTTCAAATGATCAGAAGAAATGAGGTTCATCTCCCAGCCAAAAATCGAACGCGGGTGCGTGGCTATAACCAGCAATTTAGAGAGAGGCCTGAACAGAATCACTTATCACCCACAAATCAGGTGCATAGACTTGCGCCTCAAACAGCTAGTCTGGTGGTCTCAAAAGTCAAATATGCATCTCCAGTGGCAGCTCCCTCTGTCCCTCCAGTGGGTGCCAGAGGCACCGTAGTTCCCGTTGTACTCCAACCAGTCGATGTTTCAAATGGATTACCTCTTGCCAACCAAGTGCCTCTGGATGCATCCCGGGCTGCACTCTTGACAGCATCAAGAGGCAAACAAGTGCAGACAATTACACCTTTGGCCGTTTTGCCCCCTGGTGCATCAATACCCGTCAACCAGGCGCTGACAGTTGCAAGTGAGGCACTGCCCTCACAACTTCAAACGAGCCACCAAGTGACACTAGAAGCTGCTCAAAATGAAAATGGTCTGTTTTGTCAAGGCACGCCAGAGCTGCCAAAAGGGGAAGAAAGCAGATCATTCAAGTCAGCTGACATGCTTATGCCAGGTGAAGTTAATAAGGATGCTTCACAATCACCAGAAACGCATACAGAGAATAGGAATGTACAGTGTAAATTTTCGGCCGAAAATGTTCGTGTTATCCCAAAACAAGAGATTGGTGACATGAATGAGCCTCTCTTAGTTGAGCCGCTGCAAGCTGTACAATCTCATCATAATCAATTTACTACCGTCTCTAAGCCTTTGGCGGATAGAAGACCGGGCAGAATGACTGAGCTCTTGCAGGTAAATGAAGCTTGAACTCAAATAACCACCTTCAATACTGTAATTTGTACCCCAAAGTTTCCAAATATATATAAAAATAAAACTGAAGTCAAGTACTGTGTGAAGGCTTTGCAGGAAAATATGATGGGGACCCAGGGTTGTCGGGTTGAACAACAGGCCACAGAAACTGAAGATTCCAGAAACTGACATTGGAGATGAAGAAACTCCAGTCACAGAAATGTTCTGATATCATTGATCCCTCGTGTTCTCAGAGCTGTGCAAATAGGGTCAGACGTGCTATTGAAGGTTTGGGGACGAAAAAGGCTGGTGAGAGGGAGGGTTAGGACAAGAAGAGCTAGTGTTAGGACAATTTTTGACACTCAGGTTTTTAAGCTATCAAAAAACAAACTTCATGTCAGATTTGATATTTACGTCTCTGTAAAAATCACATCGACTGCTGAACACGTTATATATATATGATATAGTTTCATGTGTTGTGCATACAGAAAGTTTATAAGGCATCTCTCTATCCCTAGCAGAGCGTTTTCCTGGCTTAGCAGTATGCTTGGTTGACTTGTGCTTTAGCCTTCTAAATTAAGTAGTAGGCGGGCGTGATTTATTTCTACCCTCATCGTGACATACAATAGAGACACTGCATTCATGTAGTCATCCCTGATTAATAAGAATAAGGCTTTATAGAGTTGAGTTGTATAATGAAATGGGCAAGTGGAACAATGCCAACATGACCGCTGGCTGTATACTCGGGCTAATCTACTCGAAAAAAAACTACTCTGCTCGAAAATAAGTTTGCTGGTAGCAAATGAATGGGCAATGTTACATGCCTACAGGACTTTATGACCTTATTTAGTGATCTTATTATTCTTTGTTATTAGATCGACAATAGACCCTACTATTAGTTAAAACTCATTATCCATTCAATAACTATGATTCTATTATGCCACCAAATAAGGTCACTAAATTAGTTACAAAAAACATGGGTCTATCGTCAATCTAGCTGAGGCACCAACTATGGCGGATCTCCGGGTCATTCAGCAAGACTTCCTGTGGGCAATGGCAAGCCAAACTCATTACTACAGGTACTGATCCAGAGGTTGCAAATCCTCACTTGAAGAAGTGGGGGACAATCACTTCAAGTAAGCAGTTTTAATTGCTTCAGAAATTAAACCATCTGATAAGCAAGGTCAGACACATTTCTATCCAGTGAAAAGAACCAGAAAAGTTCGCAAACATTTGTTTTTAATATTCAGATAAAAATACTGATTGCACAGACAAGTTGTCTATAACATCCACATCATAAAATGATCTCCACCTATAATTTCCAAATCATCGATGTAGCATTCAAATCTTGAGAGCTGGGAACAAAAATACCAGATCAAAAAACGTCGAATCTTCTGTGTTCGTTCAATGCCCAATTCTCCTTCTGTATGATCGCCCTCACTTAAATACACCTACAACTTTGGGCTCCCACAGAAATAACCTTCTCCAAAAATTTCCCAAAAAAACCGATATAACTTTGCGCTCTATACAGCCTTTCCTTTTAAAACTGGCCTTACAAAAAAAGAAACCAAAAGATTACACCCCAAATATGTGAAGGATGACAATGAAAATGGATAAGCTAGAACTTTGATGAATAATTTAACTAAAAGCCAAAATTTGGGTCAAAAAGGAGGTGAATGTAACCCTGGTGCAAGTTCTTGCTTAGGCAGGCCTGCCTTTAATTGAGAGGAAGAGATAGGAAATAATCATTCACAAAAACTTGGATCCCAAAAAACCATTAGATCCTCGGACTGGAATAGGACGGAAAACAGGGAAGGAAGGTTGTGAAATAGGGATGTGGCTGGGCACTGCAAATGACTGCTGTCCACTAGCTATAAAGGGGGTAGACATGCACAGATGCACTGCTTGAGCCGTTGCATTTCCTGCAATTGAAGACAAATTGATTAGATAAGACATGATATCCAATAACATTAAAAATAAGTTCCTTCCAAGATTCAAAAAGGAACATTATTAATCTTATATCATTTTTGAAAGAATAAGTAGCCCAAAATTAGATAAAAATAAATCATTAGGGAGGCATAGTATTGAATTTCCCAGCGTGCCAAACATTTTCTGCTTTGCAAATCTTTTCACAATAAATTGCAATAGAAGTCAACGACAAGACCATTTTCTCTATATCAGATAAGTAGCAATGGCATTTTTGAATGTGCATAAAAAAACTAAAATATTGACATATAATCAAATCAAGTTGTCTGACGAAAATGTTTGTACAAGGCTTCAAGGGATTTACATGGGTCTAGAAATCAAACACCAAGCTAATTGATAAACAGATTTTTTTAACTGAATTCAGAACTTTATTACGTTGTTATACTTCCTACCTTTTTATGATTATGCTCATTATATTGCTGACAAAGTACTTTAAGAAAATATGACCTAATGAACCTCCCAATTGATGAATCTATCTGCTCAGATAAATATTTCTTCAATCAGCGTAAAATGGTGAATTCATCAACTTATGAAGGGATGTGACATGACTGTGTTGGCAGATCAATGCAGATGATGCATGAACCATCACCAAAACAGTCAAGATAAAGGACAAATTCTTCTTTTGTTTTTAACTTTTCACAGAAGATGCTTGTTTTGAAATGTATATTGACACCTTTGCCCATTATACCCCAAGACATTAAATGCCCAAGAAACAGGTGCATATTGCATTGTTGATCTCTATATTGTGGTACCTTGTGCAAAGATATTATTCGTAACAATTTCAACTGGAGTCCATCTACACATTCAACAATAATAAAAACAAAACCAACTTTCTGCGATACGCTACAGTAATTCACCAGGAACTACTCTTGCTCATACCTTGGTGCTTAGGAAGATGAACCTGATGTGGAGTCAGCAGAGGGTGTGTAGATACTTGAGAGAGAGCTGGTGCAACCTGAACCAGATCCTTCAAATACACATAAAAGGCAATTAAGAAATAAGGAAAGCAATGTGTAACATGGAAAAGGAAGCACAAAAGGAAAATGTGAAAAAAAAGAGAAACACACAAAAGCAAAAGTGGACTTTGGAAATAACAAAACAATGAAATAAACTCAAGAAATTGCGTCCACATAAGCAATAGCACCAAGTGAGGTGAGTTTATAAGGGACCTACACAGCTATAGTTATAGATTTTGGTGTGCTTGTGTTGGGGAGCATGTGCTTTTAATGAAAAGACCAAAAGAAAAAAAGCAGATAAGCTTTAGCATAAATCTTTTTCCTTTCAGAAATATGATGTCACAGTGGACTCCAGATGCATGAAGCCACAGAAACATCCATTAGTTCTGCAAAGATGGGTCCAAGCCATCTCCTGATCACCAATTTGATGAGTTCAGTAGTGATCAGACTAGTGGCATGAAAAATCTCACCCATTTTCCGCTTGCCAGAGTCCCAATACCAGAAAATAAATACTTATTTGATGGCATCAATCTCAGCGCACGTACTATAACATTGCATTTTGGGGAAAATCAAAAGACAATCTTTCATAGAACATGCAAAAAAGTGATCATGTGGGGGTTTTCCACACAACCTTTACGGCCCAGCTAAAGTAACCTAGGAATTCCCTTTCACAGCTTCTCCCATAACATATCAATCTGATCAGTTCCAGTAATTCACATATAGTAGCTGCACCAGAAATCGCTATTTTTGGACAATCCCAATTTGATATACTTGTAATTTGTGGAAAAAAAACTGCTGCAAACATCTATATGTAATGTTATCACGCTACAGGGACTGAAGCTTACCTGAGAAACTGGATGCATATAGACAAGTGGCCCCGCTCGTCCAACCTGAGAATAACATTAATTAGTTGGAAAGCAATTGAGCACAGTCCTCCAGAAAGAAAAAACGAAACTACTAGGATGATTGGTATCAAAGATGGGATGTAAAACCACTGTCCAACTCACATTTTGAGAATTTGGGTGCACATAGGCAGCCCCAGCTTGAACAGGATGATACTGACCAGCATATCTAACTGGTGGTGTTCTGCTCCCCACATGTCCAACAATCTATAGCCAGAAAATAAATCTAGTAAGAAAATTAGCAGCATCATATAAGAGAGACAAAATTGTAGTTGGCTTCATAGTGGGACACAAGGCACGATCCTTTTTCCAGATTGTTGGCAATGCTAAATACAACAAAAAACAAGGTTTCACCCCCAAGTATTTTTAAAGCCAAAGCATTATAAAAGGACATATTCATGAGTGGTAACACTACTTTTTGCCCTTATATTTCTGCTTTCTCAAATTTCTCTCCCCACAGTTCTTCTACTTCTTTTCTGCCAAGTGAATTCATTACTCTAATCATGATCTATAAAAGTATAATGTAATTAATGGTGAAATACATAGTTGCATCCAAGATACACTAAATTGTAATACTAAATTAGCAATAGCATATCCCATGCCAGGCAGTGCAATGCAAGTAGATGAATAAAACTATGTTGTCTCTTGAGTTACAATTTCTAGATTGGCTACACATTTTGGAAGCCTGGCCTTCACTCCATGTCATTAACTTTTGATTTGCAGGAAAGAATATTATCAGTATAAGAGCAAAACTGTTCCCTACGGGAAAAATATATTGGTCATATATTCAAGTATCAAGCAGCTAATACATAAAGTTCTTGTCAAAACAGGAAGTCGAATCTATGTCCCTATTAAGGAAAACGACAAGAGTAAATAATACATACAGGTTGAACATATTGCAGATCGCTGCCACCATTTCCAGCTACCAAGTTATTATATGGAACGAACTTAACAGGCAGAGATGAATGAGGAGCAAAAGAGCTGATTTCAGCTTCTGGCTGCTGAGTAGCAACTGGTACCACATGACAGGGGTCTGGTATGTAAGTCACACTTGCAACGGTTGCCGCTGCTGGAGGGGTTGCGGATCTATGTTGGACAAATGATGGAGAGAACATCTTTGCTCCGGGATTGAGCTTAAATTCCTGAAGGAAAAAATACATTCAGCTTGGTCAAAAAGCTAAACCAGTAGGATAATAAACGACATGTCGAAATTCTTGAAAGGGTAAAAGTAAACTTCCATCCAACCAGTCAATGCTTCTCCTAACAAATAGACTCATTGCTTGACAAAGAATGGTAACTCTAAAAATAGATCTATGACATGAATGTTTAACACCTTTATTACTGCAATACTTCTTTAAATGTAGCCATTTATCGAGGAACCCAATTAAATGGTCCAAAGTATTTCAACAGTTCAAGAAAATGTGACTGAAATATTAAGTTACAGCTTACAATATACAAAACATCCACTTTACCTTGGAAGTTTTACTAGAGCTTGAACTTTTTGGAGGGACCGCTTCAGTAAAAGTCGATGATGGACTGGCACGGGATACAGAAGCAACATCCACAGCTGAAGTGACAGCAGTCGAAACACAAGAATTAAGAGCATTCAGATACGGAATATCTTTTGAAGTCTGCCTCTCCTGACACTGATCGTCAAGTTTGACAGTAAAAGGAGGAGGACTGTCACAAAGCATGGTTGTTGGCAAACCATTGGATGCAATCTCCACAACTATATTTTCGACAGCATTTGAGTGGGTTTCAGAATCATCCACTGCATGTAAAAAGCCTAATATTTACAATCAGCCATCAACCAATTAGAAGACCAGAAACATAAAATAAAGTTATTAGGTTGGGAATGAATAGCATCCACTGAATGAAGATGGTTGAAAAAGGATCCACAAACTTTCACCCAATCAAACGATCCTAAATCAAAGTAATTATGCTGAATACATGAGTGATAGAAAGAAAGGTTTCTGACAAAATAGTTCCCAAAAGAAATATCCAATGCAAACAAATATAATTGGCATCCAATCAGAATGCACCATGGGCACAATGTACGACCCCGCCTACCATGCTTGAAGTTCACAAGACATGGTAATTTTTAGTCATTCTCTTGACAAATCATTTTTATTTAAGGATTGGTCAGATAATTTTAGCCTATCACGTAGAATGATAAGTATGAAACTCACAGCTAGAAATTGAGCCTTTAACTTCATGGGTCTGCAGAAACAACAACAAACACGGTATCAACACATCTATTGACAACAATGTGAACTGCTAGTTTCTGCTGTCTATTACATGTATTCAGCTCATCTTTAAATTAACATACATTTTGCTCCCTCTGAAAGTCATACTTCTCTTTGTGATTGCTCTGTTTCCCCTGTGAGCCATCCCCAACCTGTCTGTCAAAAACAAATAACACCAAACTGAGGATGAGAGAGTAACTTATTTGAACGTGGAAAAGAATACCCAATCATGGGATTTTAGGAACCCCAAAGATGTAAACTTCTCTGATGAACCAGTCAATAGTGCCAGTATCAAGCCTAAAAAGAATGAAATCCAATGTGTGTATTGTAGACATTCATATGGGGATATCCACCATGATAGGAGGTGATTGGTGGACAACCAGAGGGGCTAGAATATGAATCCCATTACTACAACATCTGAGCACACAAAATATGTAGTAAATTCATGCAAGACATACTATAACTTCTTATTAAACATGTGTGCGCTTTTAATGCCTATAAAATACAAAAAGAACACGAGACTCATACTACCTTCCATTAACTGCAACTCCAGAAGCTTCTTCCTTCTGCATTGGAAAAAAGCAGATTGTAAAATAACAGCCCAAAATACAAATATGATCATATGCGTTCATGTGAAAGATATACATGGCAGGCACATGCATTTGATATAATTAGAAAAAATTATTCAGTTCTGATAGATAAAAATAAATCCCTTCTTCATTTAGAAAATTCACCTTTGCTAAATCTACCCCATCTGATTTCAAAATTTCAACTTCCATGGCATTGCCCAAGCCAATGGAAGTATTAGGAACAAAACCATGAGAAAAACCATTCTCCACTGGGACTGAGCACCTGCATTGATAACTGAAAGTGAGAATATGATTCCATGTTCTATTATACAAGCCGTATGAAAAATCTAAATATTGCAGGAATTTGCAGATACGGATACCTAGAGTTAAACAGTTTAGATCATGAAATACGTTCAATAAAGACAGTACCTTGTCCAACTCATGTCCTTTCTATTATTTTTGAATTTGCTGGGCCTTGTTGTTTTTGCGTCCCTCTCTGGATATTCAAGCGAAGGAGCATTGCCAGTAACAGCCCCTGTATCATTCCCAGGTACATTTCCAACAACTCCAGTTGCTGGAAGCAGGACTCCCTAGATATGACCCATCCAACAAATTAACAGGTGAAGAACACGGCATTAGACTAATTAGTAGTCCCAAACCTGAAAAAAAAAATAGAGATATACCCTGGCAACCACTTGGACAAAATCTTCTGACAAGACGACGAGTGTTTCAATCAAATCTCCATTTGCTACATTTGCATCGTGACTCCCCTTCCTAGTCATTCTTGCTCTCTTCAATACAATGGCTACAACAAGACCATGCCAAATAACTCTATTGCGTAAGTTGGCCAGATATCATGGTAAATTAGAAGAGCTTGTGGATAATGTGATTTCTATTTCTACACATCTAGATATATTAGGCTCAATTGAGCGGTTCTATAGAAAATTGTACGATTCAAGATATCAGGTTGGACTCTCCGAATTTATCAGCATCAAAACACCAATTAAAAATAGTACCAGTAGAATGGACAAACATGTATCAAAGCCCAAAGGGATCCAATCCAACAAGTACAAAAACACAATATTTTCTGGAGAAAATTAAAACCCTAATATACTTTCATGTGAGAAACAAAACCCAGAAACAGATTCGGATAATTCGACCACTGAAAACACATGAACAATAAGCCAGACAAGCCGTGGAGAACTTTACCATAGTCATCCTCCACACAAGCAGTATGGAAGATTCCAGAATAAATCGAACCGTCCTTGACATGAACGTCGACTGGTAGGCCAACAATGCACATAGTGGCGAAGAGCAATGCGTCGCTGAGTGAAGCCGATACGGCGTTCTCTTCCTCTGAGAATCCCCTGTTTCTGCAACCCATCTCTTGTTGCTTGTATAAGATTCTACACAATCTCTCTCTCTCTAGATACAGATGCAAGTATTACGACACCTTTGTATTCTTGGAGATTAGAAGAGTGAATCGCAGGTTGCAGAGGAGATCCGAAGCGGGGTTGTTTTTAGCTTCGACGACGGACAAGAAAAAATCAATCAGGAAAAAAGGAATTACAATCGTGCCGCTTATTTTGCGTTTCCGTTTTGAACTTTATTTGCGTTTGTGTTTTTTGCTCCGCTACCCCCACACTTTAGCATATTTTTCATTACTAATAATTTTTTTGGGAGAATTTTACTTTAAACCCTAAAACATTTATGAATTTTTATTTTTTTATCTTTAAATATTAAAATTTTCATATTTTCCCCTTTTATTAGTTTTTATTGTTTATTTTGTCAAAAATCACTCTATTGACACTGACAATATAAACAATAAAAGCTAACAAAAATGTCACATTATAGTATTTTTAATATATTAAGAGTACAATCGTTTCATATCAACAAAAAAAAAATTATATATTGTAATTACAATATGAAAAATTTAATCTATTTAATCTTTTAGCATACAAAATATAATTCTTCCATTTTTTTTCTTGTCTTTCTCCACATTAGAGATTTTGAATATTTTATCTCTCTTGAATATGGAAGGGTAAGTAGGAATCTTAACAAGACATGTACATTGAGTTTGGCTCATTCTAGGAAGTTCTTTGTTCATTACTATACCCTATCAAATATCATACTTTATGTTATATTTTTTTTACTAGTTAAGGAATTCCAACATTTCATCATCTAACTTTGTGAAGAGAAGTAAAAAATAAAAATGAGAAAAAATACTAGAGAAAAGTAATTTTTTTGCATCAATATTGTTGACTTTTTTCTCATAACAAAGATTGTGACTTTATCAACATGCCTTCATTACTAAGGGTCTAAATTCAAGTGTACTAGATCCCCAAAAATAAAGGGAATTGATTGTGGATATTGAGAATTTAAATTCAAGATTCAAGTTATGACTCTTTCAAACGTTCCAAACGGTTTTATAATTCCTTAATTTAAAAAATATCTAATCTCAATAAAACAGATTCATAAAAAAAAAAAAAAACTATCAAATATGTTATGCATAAATTGAAGTAAGAGCAATTACGTAATACAAAAAAAAATGTAAAACTATAATGTTTACCCACTACCCAAAAATTTATGAAAATTAAGACTTAGGCAGTGTTTGGTAACTTGGTGTTTGTGTGTTTTTTCTGTTATTTTTTTCATTTTTTGCTAAAAAAAAAACACTAACGCGTTTGAAAAGTGTTTTTATTTTTTTTATTTTTGGTTGGTCTATTTTGTAAACAACCCCAAATTTTAAAACCATCAAAAGAGATGTTTTTGAAAACACGAAAAAATGAAACACGCCTGGGCCTTTAAACTATTTAATGAGGTTTAGCCTTCGAACTTAAAGGGTTTTTTTCATTCCTACTCTTATCCCCTTTTCTTTTTCCTTCGTTCATCTCTCTTGTTCATTTCTCTTACAGGCAACAACAAAGAGTTACAAAGGAGGATAAAAGAGCCAACACAATCTCTCTCTCTTTCTCTATGTCACCCCTCTCTGATGGGTTCTGCTGGAGAGTTTCATGGTTGGGCTTTTATGGGTGGTGGTGGGGGTAGATTGGGAGTGAGTTTCAGTGGTTCCATGGTGAATTAAGGGTGGGTTTTAGTGGTGGGGGCAAATTGTGGGTTTTGGTTGTGGTGGGGGCGGGTTTCAATGGTTGTGGAGGGTGGATTGGGAATGGGTTTCAGTTGGTTTTCAGTGGTGGATTGGAGGTGGTTTTTAGACTTTTAGGGGTGGGGGTGATCAGTGGGGTTGGGTGGTGGTTTTGGGTAGGGGTCTCAATCAATTTTGCTGAGATACACTCCGTCAATGATTTAAGGAAGAGAGATTGAAATCGAAGAAAATCAATTGAAATTAATCTAATTGATCATGTTTGATTACTTTGCAAGCTTCTCTAATTCCTTCCTCTCTTCATAGATCTTGGTTTCTTGACACAATAAGAAGATAATAAAAACGGAGGAAGAGGTGGCATTCAATGACTGACATTTGGGGTTAGGTGGTGGCGTTCGATGGTTGGATTGGGTGGTGGTTTTGGGAAGTCAGTAGGGTTGAGTTGTGTGGATTGAGAGATGAATTTTGCTATATTTCAAATATGTTTTTTATTTTTATTTTTATAATTTTTAAAATATAAAATGACTACTAAACGTGTTTTATATTTTTAATTTTTATCAAAAAAAAAAAAAACAAAACTTAATTCTGTTTTTTTATTAAAAAAAACATTATCAAATGCACCTGACCGAAAAGTTTTAGATACGTACTTTTTAAGTTTTTCAAGTCTACCCGCCGCTGCAAATTTTCCATACAAAATTTGATAACAATATTATTGTTTTTTTATTTTAATTAGTTTTTTTTATTCCCTGTTAACTTAGCCAAGTGGGAAGGGTATAATTGTAAATAAATAATTGAAAGGGGGCATTTCTGCAAGGTTTAGGGTTTATCCCTAAACCTCATCGCCTCATCCTTGTATCCTTCTTCGATTGATTCACAGTAGTGAACAAATCAAAACCTCTCAAAACGTAAACCCCAACGTCTCTTCTTTCTATGTTCAGTTCATTCATAGTAGTGTGCAATTCCAAATCTCTCTATATCTAACACCATAGCCTCCCATACGATCCATCAAAAATGAAAAAATCCAAATCGAAACAATTCCTCATGAATGGCCGCCTCTCAGAGGCCAAGGAAATCGAATTACTCGAATCATGGATCGAATTCGGCAAACCTGGTTCTGGTTCGAACCCATTATCCTTCCCAGTCTTACCGGACAATGCTCCGATCGGCCGCACAGGCGAGAATGTGTTCTCTCAGTACGCCGGGTGCAAGAAATTCATCCAATTGCCTTTGTCACAGAAGACCAAAGATGGCTTGCGAAAAGCGAATTACACGAAGATGACTGATATTCAGATGGCTACGTTGCCACATTCGCTTTGTGGTCGAGATGTTCTGGGTGCGGCGAAAACTGGGTCTGGGAAGACACTGGCTTTTATTATACCGGTTAGTTTTGTGAGAAACTGGGCGGTGTTTGATTAGTTTTTGATTGCCATGTGTTTTACGATGGGAGAAGTTAAATTTAAATAGTGGGTTAATCATTGAGTTACTTGTACTCGTATGTTCTGAGAAAGTTATGGGTTGTGTTTTATACTTATATTATTCTACGGGATGAAAATTTGCTAATTGATAAGAAATTGCACACAATTGTAGAGGAAAAGATTGCATTTTGAATATCGAGTTTTTGATCTTTAGGAAACTATAAAACTAAAAATGTCCAATTGGTCTGTATCTAGTATGTTCCATGCTTGTTATCTGAGGATAGTTTCGAACATTCTAAATGCCATGTAGCATTGTAAATTTTCATGGTATTGCTCCATTGATATTTCACGAGTTATTTTGGAAGTTACATAGAGAGAGATGCCCTTTCCTAGTTATGGAGAAATTATGGTTTTGTCTGATGAGTTAGCTATCCTGTTGTTTGGTTTCTCAGGAAATGTAGGAAAACAATGGGACTGGAATTGCGTAACTTTATACATTTCTGTTATGATACTTTTGAAAACAATAGTGTCTACTCAACTGTGTTTAGTGCAGTTGTTTTTGGCTTGTTTGAGTAGACCTTATTTACCAAGAGTTCATTCAAATAAATAAGGCATTCAAGCAGCAGATGTTGGACAATGATTCCCTTAGTATGCGAATTTGTGGTGGTGTGCTTCTTTACTGCAGAACTTTCCCCAGTATCTGTTTGTCTGGTGGATCAATGTCATAGTTGTAAACATCTTTCTTCAAATAATAGTTGAAAAGGAAAAATTGGAATGGTCGTAATTTTGACAAATATGAATTCACTTATGGCGGTTATTTTGTTTTTTTGTCAGATTATAGAGAAGTTATATAGAGCAAGATGGGGTCCAGAAGATGGGGTGGGATGCATCATAATGTCTCCCACAAGGGAATTAGCAGTTCAACTATTTGAAGTATTACAAGCTGTTGGGAAGCACCACACTTTTAGTGCTGGCCTTCTAATAGGTGGTCGCAAAGATGTTGATACTGAGAAGGAGCATGTAAATAATCTGAACATCTTGGTCTGCACTCCGGGTCGGCTGCTGCAGCATATGGATGAGACCCCAAATTTTGATTGTTCACAGCTACAGGTCAAATATTTTTTTCCCTCTTCCAATTTTCTATAACTGCTGTCATATTTTTCCTTCTTACTCTTCTTCGTTGAAGATACTGGGATGAGTGCTTTTACGTTCCATAGCATATATATGGGGATCAGGTCGAGACCTTTTGAATTTAGCTTGTTTTGCCTATTTACTTCCATTGTCTGGAGGCAAAATAATCTACTAGTTTTTAACTATCTTGTGCGTCAATGCTATATTAAATATGGCTAATTCATTGGCATACACAATAAATGTATGAAAAATCTTTCACCAGTATCTATAGTCTACCATGAATTGCCACAGTTCCTTGTACTCATTTAAGGTGGGGTGATTTGATTTTGGTTTATTTTCTTTCAACTTCTCAGATGTTAGAGTTCAGTTAACAGTCAAAATGCCATTAGTATCTTCTTAAAACAACATATATGTATTTATATTTGTTTAGCTAGTGTTTGTTTGAATTCACATATCGTTGAGTTGGCCCCTTTTTTTCATAAAACAAGAAGCAATTTTGAGCCATCTTAGATAGGGTTTCTTAATTTTACTTGGTATTGGGATGGTTCTAGATCTTTCTCCTTTTTGCAAACCCTATTGGTGTTATTTGAAGTAACACACGGTATGATGGCTTCTTTCTCGCTCTATATCTCTTTCTCTATGTATATGCATCTTCATATAGATTAGTATATATATACACACACAAAATTTGGAAAGGTAGGACTTATTTTACAAAGGCATATTTCATGTATTACTTGTCTCAGTAGTTAGCTATGTTTTTTTTTTTTTTATTGTCAATTTCTCGGCCTGCTTTTCTTCTCGTCAACTGCTTGACTTTCTTTTGTGTAATTGTTGATTTGTGTATATTTTTTTGGCCGGTGCACAGGTGTTAGTTCTTGATGAGGCAGATCGTATTCTTGATGTGGGATTCAAGAAGGCATTGAATGCAATTATTTCACAGTTACCAAAACATAGACAAACCTTCCTTTTCTCAGCAACCCAAACAAAATCGATTCAAGATCTTGCAAGGCTAAGTCTGAAAGACCCAGAGTACATAAGTGTGCATGAGGAGTCTCCAACTGCAACTCCTAAAGGCTTGCATCAAACAGCAATGATTGTTCCTCTTGACCACAAGTTAGACATGTTATGGAGTTTTATAAAGGCACATCTGAATTCAAGGATTCTTGTATTTCTTTCAAGCTGCAAACAGGTAAGCCTATATTATTTCTTTTGATCCACACACGATGTCTTCTTTAAATGTCATTGTCAATGTCGGTAACAATGGGGTGTGCAAAAATTTAACCGTAGCTTGACATTTAGTTTTTGAAAAGGGCATTAAATTGGTCTAATCGTTGCACTCTCCGTAAATGGAACATGAGTTTTATACTTTTATAAGCAAAATTTATTTCTTTGGGCTGGGCTTTACTTGTCAGCCGTTCTTCTCAATTTAAGGTAAATACATTTGTCATATTTTATTATGTCAAGTATTTGTCTATTCAAGTGATACATTGTGGGGTTTGAGTTTGAGAATTAGTCTTTCCAAAATTGGAGTAAGGTTGCCTATCATTCATCTCACACACTTGTTATTGGTGGGAGCTTTGTATACTGCGTACGATTTTGTTTTGTTTTACATGGTTGTTTGAGAGAATTTAAACCCTAGCTTGACATTGTGACAAACCGTATATAAATTAATCATTAACACGCTAATTAGGCCGTAAATTATAATTCTATATAATTAAGGGTTATTTTTTTAAAATTTAAAAAAATAAATAAAATAAAATAAATGAACCTCAAATATAGATTCTTTGCATGAAAACGAGTTATATGATTATAATATAGGGTCATATTTCGGGTTGAAATAAAATATAATATTAATTTTCAAGTATTCAAATGGTATAATAGAGTGTAAAATAAATGTCACATGTACAAATATATAATGTATGGAAAAAAAAAGGTGACAAGTGGCATTCAAATAAAAAAAAAAAAAAGCTTGAACAAGACTTGAACACTTGTCCATGTGATGCATTTCTTGCATCACCACATGACTTCAACCATGGTGTAATGAACTTGGAGCCCAAGGCTCTCATGCCCAAAACTCATTCTATAAATAGAGACTCCTAGCCAGTGAACAAATCGTGGAGGAGAAAGGAAGAAAGAGAGGGAGAGAGAAAGGTAGAGAAATAGAGAAAAAAAAAGAAAGAAAAATAGCGAGATTTTGGGTTCAAAGTGAGATGATGATTTTAGTCTCAAATTTTATAAAAGTTGTCTATATCGTTATTAGAATGATGGTGATTAAATTTATCGATATCAATTGGTGATTGAAGGTACGGGGTAGTATACAATATGCTCTTGTATTTTAAATCTCTTTATAAAGAGTGTTCTTTGATTATCTGAAATTTGTATTCCAATTAATTATTTTGATCGATACTAAATTTTGTTAATTTTATCGGTTGACCTGTACATGGGGCTAAATACTCTGAGATTGATTGGTACATGTACGAAGTGTACATGAGATATAATTGGTGAAATGTGATTATGGCCCTGTGGGGTGTGATTGTGATTACAGCCCTGCCGAGTGTAATTAGTTAATATGAGTATGAATTTAAATATCCAAGTGTCACTTATCATGTCACCAAAAGGAACCGAGCACGAGGCTATGCTTGATAGCAGTTGAGCAATGTGGCATTTCGAATGTGATTCTTGATCTCGTTATCCATGATTCTATCATCTGAATTATTTAGTATTTGACCATTCATACTTTTCTCGTTAAGCATATTATTTCCTGTTATATTGTATACTTCCCCGCTTTTAATATTTTTTTCAGAATAATCTCGGAAGAAATTACCAAAGTTGATATTTGAGGAATCAAAGATGGATGAGTCTTGATATAATTTTTAACTTTGTGGGTTTATTGTGGTAATATATAATTTCTGAGGGAAGGACCAGAGTGGAGATATGAGAAAGTTTTTGATTTATAATTTTGTGGGTTTATTGAGGTGATATATAATTTAAACATATTTGTTTTTATATTGAGAAGATTATTTTATTGTTATTTGGAGATCAAAATTGTGACTATAAATTTATTGAGATAATTAGAGCTCTGACTCTGTATTCGGAGATTTATTTGGGGTTTATTGTGATCGATTGATTTAATCAAGTAATGCGTCCAGGAAACCGGGGCGTTACAAAGTGGTATCAAATTTAATCAAGTAACATGTCCGAGAAACTGGAGCATTACAGACATGCTTTATAAACAAATTCATTGTCAAACCTGGGTCTCTGGTGGAACTTTTGTGGTACTCCTAATAAGCAAATGATATGTGTTCTACATCGTGATAAGTAAAACCTATTTGATTGGGTTGGGTCTTACTTGTGTTATTTATCTGTTCAAGTGATACATTGTGGGGTTTGAGTTTGAGAATCAGTCTTTCCAAAATTGGAGTAAGTTTGCTTATCATTTATCTCTCTCACTTGTTATTGGTGGGAGCTTTGTATATTGCGTATGATTTTTTATTTTATTTTACATGGTTGCTTGAGGGAATTTAAACCCTAGCTTGATATGCTCTAGCTTGACATGCTCTATAAACAAATTCATTGTCAAACATGGGTTTCTAATGAATTTTTTGTGGTAGTCCTAATAAACAAATGATATGAGTTCTACATCCTGATAAGTAGAACCTATTTGATTGGATTGGGTCTTACTTGTGTGTAGGTCTTTTCTGTTTAATATAGTAATGTCATGGTCTCTTCCCTTTAATAATTTTCATTCATGAAACTTATCTTTCTTATGTTTGCATTTGTTATGTGCATTCATATATTTCACAGGTGTCTAGGTTCTGGTATCGCCACTTGCATTAGATTTTTAGCAGGGCATCTTGTGTTGGACCATAAAAATTCTGTTTAGGACTGGGAAACATAGATGTGTATGGCAATCAATTTGTATGATGATGATATCTGACTGTCAAAGAAGTGGGAAGAAAGTATGTAGGTCCCCTAGAAATTTATAAAAAGTTAGAAGTGTGATTTTGGATTTATGAGTTCTACTATCCTACAAAGAATAATAGCTTAGTGGTTTTAAGTGTTATTCATGGGCAAATTTGTTGCTCTAGTGTAGGTTTGTATGTAAGTGTATATTCAACCAAAATCACAATGATAATGGGTAAGGAAATAGATAATACTAGGGGAAGATCCTTAAGTGGCAATGATTGACATGATTTTGATGTTTGGATGATACACTGTTTCAATCATTTCACTTGTTCATGATGCTTGGGTTTTTACTATGTAAGGATGAGCCAATTTTTGCTAGAGAATGCCAAATAGTTCCAATTATGTTTTGAAATTATATGGAAATACATGAACCTCCCTTTTAACTATGCAAAAATTGCCCCATATTGTTCTTCGTGTTCCCTCTTTCCTTCTCACACAGTTAAAAAGACAGTTTGGAGGAGATGAGTAAAAGACAAGTGCCACATTGAAAATAAAATTGCTCTCATTCAGAACTGCCTTATCACATTTTTGACTATGTGGGCCACGGAAACCAATTTGACATGCATTTTAGATGTGGCACATCATTTCCAAGTTCCTTTTCCATGGACCGAGACAATACATGTGTCAGTTACTAGCAGGAGAAATCTTCAGCTTGGAATCAAATTGTATTGTCAAGGCCTTACTTGCTTTGGCTTGTGTTCTTTGATCAATTTTCTTTCGTTTTGGAGTTGAACTTTTGTACAGATTTAGTGTTGGTACTCATAATGACATGATGATGAATTGTTCTTTTGATTTGACAATTTTTTTTATATGAGATTGTCTGGGGATAACCGATGACCTACAAAGCTACTGCAGTTAAGTTTGCAGTAGACAAATCAATATGTAACATTGTGTCAGTCTTGCTCTACCATTTCTTCCATAGTGAAAGCTCCAGTTATAAGACTCCACTATTTTGGTGTTTGCTTCCAGTTCTTTTTAACATATGTTTTTCATGCTCATTATTGGTGTTCAGTCTGAGCCGTTGTATGAAACAGGTAAAATATGTTTTTGAGTCATTCAAGAAACTGCGCCCGGGAATTCCCTTGATGTGTCTTCACGGAAGGATGAAGCAAGAGAGACGGATGGGGATATACTCCCAGTTTTGTGAGAAACGTTCAGTTCTATTCTCGACTGATGTGGCCTCAAGAGGCCTTGATTTCAATAAGGCAGTTGATTGGGTTGTCCAGGTGAGTTATTTCCTGGTTGGTCGAAGAAACTAATATTTCATAAGATTGAGGTCATTGATTGTAACTATCCGCCTACTGTTCAGGTTGACTGTCCAGAAGATGTTGCTGCTTACATACACAGAGTTGGCCGCACTGCTCGCTACCTTTCTGGTGGGAGATCGGTTTTATTCCTTACGCCATCAGAAATGAAAATGCTTGAAAAATTAAAAGAGAAGAAAATACCCATTGATTTTATCAAGGTGCATTTTTCTATTCACAAAATCTTTTATCCTGATATTTGATCGATTTCTGTTTGGACGGTCAGTCTAGCTAACTTGAATTCAGACGAGAACTTGCTAACAACTTGATGCTTCCAGTTTCATCTCATTTTGGATGTTGTTTGTTACAGGCAAACACAAAGAGGCTGCAAGCTGTTTCTGGATTGTTGGCAGCGTTATTGGTCAAGTACCCCAATCTGCAGTATCTGGCTCAAAGGGCATTTGTCACTTATTTGAGGTCTATACATAAACAGCGGGATAAGGAGGTTTTTGATGTGATGAAACTTCCCATTGATGAATTCTCAGCATCATTGGGTCTGCCACTGACCCCCAAAATTCGTTTTCTTAAAGAAAAAATTAAGGGCAAAACAGTGTCTGAAGAATCCTCTCTTTTACCAGAAGATTCTAATGAGACTTCGTTAGAGTATCTAAGAGAAAGGCTTGATATTGGCAGAGTAGAGGAAGATGAATCTGAAAAAAGCATTCTTTTAGCACAGGAAACCCAGCATGGAGAGGAAGGAAAAGCAACAGAGATTGGAGATGCTGTGTATGTCCCTTTATTTGTTGTAATATGTTGTGGTCATCTTTAGTGGGTGAAGACTTGCTATGTTTGATTTAGAAAAAAGCAACCTAATGGAATAGTCAAAAAATTATACTGGTCATCACTCTCATACTAGATATCGTTTTTCAGACACAGTTGTTCTGGTTAACTTCCTATGCTATGAGTTAAGTCTCCACCAATTGTTTTTGTAGGCATGCAACTAGAATTTTGAAGAAAAAGAAGCTAAAGATCAATGTGCATAGACCAGTGGGAACAAGGGTTGTTTTTGATGAGGAAGGCGACACTTTACCCCCACTTGCGAAAATAGCTGACACGAAGAGTGGTAGTGACTTGGTTAAGGTTGACAAAGACAAAGGTAAATGTTTTGGTTCACGATATATAAGTTTATTATGGGATGGATTTTGTGAAGTTTTTGTTGTTCTTATCACCTTTTTAATCACCATTCTCATTTTTCTTCGTTGGTCTTAAATTTTAATCTATTGTTGCTTATGATCATTCAGAATAATTTTAGCAAAGTTAAATGAAATTGCTGTTAAATGCATTATTTTTAAGCTACTTTCGTTTATCACTTCCCTTTTTTTCCTGTTTGAAAGAACAGAGTTGCTCAACGATCCATTGTTTATGTGCCAAAAACACGTATTTGCCAAATACTATTAGCATTGGGTATATGTTGAGTTAGGGCTTGAACTCTGCTGATTAACTCTGCTTTGGCCTTGGTAATTTGGGTTTGCAGATCGTATACCTTACTGAATCTGTTCTATGGGTTTGCTTTCTTATGCTAAAATATTTTGCAATGTCGATGTTGCAGTAAACCAAAGATATGCAGAGATGAGGGAAGAGTTGAAGCTGGAGGACACCAAGGTAGACAAGGTTCTGGATCATCAGCGTCGCAGAGAGAAACGGATCAAGGAGAAGATAAAGCGGAAGAGGGCAATGAAGGAAGAGGATGATGATGATGATCTCTCTGGTTCTGATGGAGAAGGAAATGGTGATAGACTCAATAGACGATCAAAGATATACTTTGACAGTGACACTGATGACCGCAGTGAAAAGAGAGACAAAGAGAAAGTGGGTCTCAGTGCTGATTCTATTTCTCTCGCAGAGCAAGAGGAACTGGCTCTCAAGTTGTTGAATTCCATGCACTCGTAATTTGTCATCAGTTCTAAAGGGTTCGCTTTCTCGTCTCTGAGTTTTTGCATCAACAACCATTAATTAGTTTTGGTGGAAGAGAATCTAGCAGTGCAAGTTTTCAGGGCTAAGTCATTGGATTGAGCTTGATTCAAAATGGTTCTGATTGCAATTTTCACTTAGAATGGAACAATAGATGGGTTGAGGAGAGGTGGCATGGCAGCACCATAGCTTGAACTTTTGGAGTCAAACAACACATCGGCTCGTGACCAAGAGAGCGTTGGTAAGGGTATACAAGTTTTATTGAGATATACATGCGGCTTTGCTGTGTAATGTAAATTTATTTTGAAATTCAATTAAGTAGTGTAATTTGGCTGAACACGTTAATTATAGTTGGCTTGATCATTAACCCATTACCCATTTCTTTGGAAACGAAATCATGAACTTTCACTTCATTCGATTTTCCTTCTTTTGTGAAAGTTGGATTCTTGCATTTCCGTTTGTTTAGTGGGATAATGATAGAAAATACGAGAGATAATTTTTTTAAAATTTTTATGTGTTTAGTTAGCATGAAAATAATAATAAAAATAATAATTTTTTTTTTTCATGCTTACATTTTTTCACAGCTAACCATCTTTATTTTTCTTGTAAAAAACACAAGAAAATATAAGAAAAATATAATCTATAATTAAATTTTTATTTTTTGAAAAATATTTTACTGGTATTTTAAAAATTTTGGTATATATTTGGTTAACTATATAATTTGACTAAAAAGCTTACATACTGATGATTGTCTTAGAATTACGTTGAAGCCATTTTTACATTTTTATAATGTGATTGAGTTCAGTGTTATTTGAGTCATAAAACGAACCGAAGCGATCAAGGCTCCTAACGCCTAAGCGAGAAGCGAAGCGATACGCTTTACCGAAGTGAAGTGAGCAGTTAAAAAAAATATTATTTTTTAGTTTAATTATTTCTAAACAATTTAAGTTCTAATTTTATATATACTAAATATTTAAATGCAAGTAAAACCATAACAAGGGCACATTCACATACACTAAATAACATTTCATAACAATTGTAAACAATTTCATATTTCACATGTATCAACCAACAAAAAATAAATAAATTCACATGTATCGAATGCATTAAAGCTCATTGTTTTCATCTGTTTGTATAATTCTTTTAAACGTTTAATTATATCAATATCAATAAGAAAAAAAAGGAATGTGTTTTGTTCGAAGTATTGTTTATCAAAAAAAAAAATAAAACAAACCAGTGATCATAAAAAAAAAAAAGTCATCAGTGCTTAAAAAATAAAAGAGACTACTAATCGGAGACGAATCAAAAAAAAAAAAAGAAAAGAAAAGAAAAGAAGAAAAAGTAGAATAGGTGAGGGAAGGAGTTGCAGAGAGAAGAAGAAAGAAGAAAAAAACAGAAATAGAATATAGGAGAAGAAGAAGAGACTTGCCTGTTCGAATCAGAAAAAAAAAAAAAAAAAGAATAGAGAAAAGTAGAATCGGTGAGGAAGGAGTAGCAGAGAGAAGAAGAAAGAAGAAGAAAACAGAAATAGAAGAGAGGAGAGGAAGAAGAGATTTACTTGTTCCCTATGTCGGTGAGGAAGCAGCAGCAATACAGTGTAGCGATCGTGTGTTCCCTGTGTCCAGCGATGGTCCAGTAGCTCTGACGAGGGTCCAGTCCAGCTCTCCAGCTCCGACGAGGGTCCAGTCCAGCACTTAAGCTCTAGTCCAACTCTAGCGATTGTGTAACAGAGCTGCAGCAAAGACAATTTGAAAAAAAAAATTAGGTTTGGGTTGTATTTATGGGGTAAGAGAATAATTCGGTGTATCTATGTCTTAATTTTTTTTTTTCAAATGTCTAATCAACGACCCATAATCAAATTAAAAAAAAAAACATCTGGAAAGGTTAAGGCGCTCGCTTTAAGCAACAGGCAATCACTTTGTTCGCTTCGGTCACATTCGCTTCGCCTGTAGTCCTCCTGACAAGAAACCTTCACCTCGCTTCTCGCCTAGACAAACTTTTCAAAATACTGATCGAGTTAATATAATTAAAAATAATTTGAGCAATCAAAAAATTTTGATTATAATTTTCTTTAGATCGATTTAATACAATTAGAAAAATTTTCTTCTAACTTTCTTTTCTTTCAAACAATAAAATGAATTTTTTAAATTATTTTCTAACAAATTTTTCATTCTAATCAAATAGATACATGAAAATATATTTTATTTATTTTCTCACTTCCCTTTCTATCAATTTTACTTTTATCATTCTTTTCTTTCTAACTAGATGAACATGGAAGGTAGTTCCACGCAATTAACAGAAAAACCCTTCGTCGGGTGGGTTCCTCTGGAGAGCCACCGGCAACACCTGTAAAATGATAAAATTGAAGCTGTTAATCTTTCCATGGAGAACTCAAGTCCTCACCATTGTTGCCTGGAATAAGAATTCAAAATAATTCTGGAAGTGGCCTGTGCATGGATCAACAACATAAATCCAATATCAAATAACTGCTAAAAAGAATAAAATAGAATCACCTTTGAAACAGACAGAAAAGTAGCCCCAAATCTAAACAATTACTACCAGATTCTTGGCCACTACTACTCCGCATGGTTTTAACCCTAGGAATAAAACAATCGTAGATAAACACGAGACGCACCCGATAAGGTGAGAGACTAGCACTGTCACTAATCCACAAGAGTGATGACTGCATGAGTTTTCAACATTTAATGCAGGTTATTTCAATGTACAATTATCCATTCACACAATCAACATCTCCTCCAGACAAAGCTTGCATTTTCATCCACCAACATAATGAAAATGCATCAGCAAGGCTTACAATCTTATCAACAGAAAAACAAAACTGAAAACAAGACCATGGTGCTTAAAATCCATCAGCCTTGAAAACGCACAAGTATCATCTCACAGCACGCACAAATTAGACATTCCCTAAGATTTTGAAAACAGTTCAATATGTATAATCAGAAAGCAGAAAGGAAGCATTCATTAAACCATAACAATGCAGAATCCATAACTTAAACAAGACAGAGATCATACAAATCTGATGGGAAAAAATACTTCAACATACTAAGTATCTCCTCTAACAAATTCAAGAAGTTCAGCCAACAAATAGAAAAGAAAAGCAAATAACAAAATATATAGGGCCAAGGGCCAGGAATTTTTCTTGAGTACCAACTCCACAACTGGGCACCATCATACTACAACCAATAACTGGAAACATCGATCGAGTTAAACTGGAAGCAAGTGAAACTCACACCAGCTCTCATGCTTCCCCACAGACCGCAACAGATCACTGCAAGTACAGAGATATACCGTGAGCAAAATACTCAGCAGAAGTGTATAGTAAATACAGAGGAAACAAGAGGGCAATGACTTTTTCGTGTCAGCAGCACTAACAGAAACATTCCAGAAAACAGGTTTGGCCAATGGTTGTCACTTAGAAATGTAATGAACAGTCACTATTGTGATGCCTCATCCATGTCAGACTCAGACAGCTTGACTCTGATTATCATAACAGCTATAAACTAAGTGGCTAATAGCAAAAATAATCAAAGCAGCAGCAAAAAAAAATTCAACATCATTGAATTTGCACATGGTCCAGACAATTCTGCTTTGTAGAATATGGTCTAAATAGCAGACAATAACGTCATTACCTAGCTCCAATATAATTGCAAAAAGTCACCATTCCTCAGTATTAATACAAAATTCTCCTTTGCCTATGCAAACTCTCGGTAAACCACAAGCGGAAATAAATATGCAAATGAGATTCCTATTTAAATAAGAAAGTAGACTAATAAGGGTCTATGTGACTCCCCGAATAAGCATTTATGCAAATAAGGGTCTTATGTGACTCCTCGAGTCATTAAAAACCCTTCGTAACTTGTACTGCTAGGTCACCATCAACTAAGAATGCTGGAAAGGAGCAGAAATTTGTGGCACTATCTCACCTGCTGTGGTTGTTGGTAATTCCCATAACCAGGATAGCCTCCATAGTACATGTTTGGGTCTTGAGGAGGGGGTGCATATCCATATCCTTCATACCCTTGTGTATAGCCATAATATGCACCATTCCACTGGGTCTGATCCGGCTGACCCTAAAACCAATCTAACAGTCAAACACAGCAGAACATGTGTTTCTTCTCAGATCACCGAATACATGGTGATATATTTATACCTGTTTTGTCGAGGGACTTCGGCCCCATGAAAGTCGGATATTTTGTCCACCTAATTGAGTTCCATTCAAGCCTGATAGCGCTTGCTCAGCACAACCTCTATAATATGACGTATGCAAGCAACAAACAATGGAGAGAGTTAGACAGCAAAAACCTGTGAGAACTCATATGAAGGCCGTGTGTTGCTTACCTGCTAGCATATTGAACAAAACCACAACGCTTGCCCACTGGTATTTTCACGTGAACCAATTCACCATATTGGCCAAACACTTGTCTCAAAAGCTCATCAGTAACATTGGGGTCCAAACCACCAACAAAAATCTGCACTCACAATGTGAGGAGTTACTACAATATCAAAGACAAAAATATCCTACAATCAAAAAATACCTACTGTTGTATTATTTGGATCACTTTCGCCCTGATTTCCTTGAGGATTCTCGTAGGAAGCTGCAAATTACAAATGAACGTGAAGAGCAAAATAAACACAAAGTGTATTTAGGCGACATAAATTGAGCAAATGTTTCCCAAAATGAATTCCTCCGAGATAAACGGATGTAGATCTCGATCTATTGTTATGAGTAATCAGGCAGTCCAAACATGCTTGATCACATAGTCAAGCTCAGCTATCAGAATGGAGTTTTCGACAGATAGAGGCATCAGTAATAACCTACAGTTCCAATTAATTCAAAACACTCCCCGAAAGGGGAAAGTAAAGAACCAACTCACTAAAATATCATTTACTTTTCCAATTTTCCATGGTAAAAGAAACAGGAAAAAAGATCACAGCAAGAACAGGAAAAACATTACATAAAAGCCATAATTGCAATGTTGGTCAATCCATTCATATCAAACTAAAAAATAACACGTATTTATACCCTAGAAAACTTAATCGATTGACACCACCAATGCATTAGTTTGGTATTGTTCCTTGAATATCAAAACTTTCCCATCACACCAAGAATACAATTAAGCACTGTTGTGTCTAACAAGCAGAGCAGTTGTGTATAGCAAGACTGGTTACATCCATGGTTATAAAAACTCTATACAACAATAGTTCACAACACCAACCTATCAATTATCCATAACCGTATCTTACCTTACCTTTCCATGAAGCATAAAAAAGCACATAGTCTTAGCAATATATGCTTGAAAAGATGCTAGAAAACAATACCTCTGGACTCTCCTTCATTTCTTCCAGAAAAGTAAAGCACGCAGTCAAGTGGCCAACAGAACGTACAATAAATGTTTGTTTAATCTGGAAAGCTCCTATACATATTACATCATGAAACACTGTTCCTAGTCAGTCAGCTAAAAATGAAAAGAGTTGCTCACCTTATGTTCCTGCTCTCAATCAACAAGACTATACTGACCTTGCTACTGTAAAGAGGCACGGACACATCAGTACTATCTTAATCAAAAAGCACATTTCCTTGTATCTATCCGTGAAATAGCATGCATTAATTAAAAAAATTTCTTGCTCCTCATTTAATTTTTTTTGGTATTTTTCCCTTTGCAAATAAATGGACTAAATGTGTTTATCTATATGTTTCTTGGCCATTCAAACAAAATTTCCCCTCAGTTTTTGTTAATTTTTCATTTAAAACTTAGTGTAGAAGTATTAAATATCATTCCATGCATTTAAATACAGCAACATACATGATACTTCCAAAGCACCCATCTTGGTGCTTAACCATAGCCCACAATGTTATAATGTGAGAAAAGGACAACAAAATCCAAATCCAACATTTTTCCTGATACACTCAAAATGAGAAACTAGCTCCAGCAAAACCTATATGAAACCTCAGATTGTGGATATAAAGGAACTTCAAGAATTAGTTGGTATGTACAATCCTAGAACTCACGCTCATGTGTCATAGGACTTTTAGCTTGGGAATCCACTGGTGAGTTTGTTTTTCCTAAAGATGTACATACAAAATGGCCAATGTACAGGACAAGAAAAACTAGCCAATAGATGTGCACACCATATCTATACAAATGAACCAAATTCACCCCAAGTTTTCTCATAGAGATTAGAAAAACCTAAAAAAAATTAAAATACTCAGCTACATGATTGAAGTTAATGTGCTGCAATGCAAATCTCGGAGTAGAAAGTTATAGCATCACAGCCATATACATTCTTCGAAAGAGTAAAGCTTTTATTATAAGGCACACACAAAAAAAGGGTTCAGCCCGTTCAACCCATGTAAGCACATTGTATACAAAAGAAATAGGAAAAATAAGCGCCAAAGAGAAATATCCCAGAAAATTTACAAAAGAAACATCACAACCAAAAGCATTTCCTCCCAAGTGGATACATCCTCTTACAAAGGAATACTAATTGAGAAAAAAAAGGAAGGTACGTGGAAAGGAAAGAATGCAATAATTTTCTAGAAAATGTGTAAAAGAGAGGTGAAGGCAACATGCGAGAATTAACTTTCCAGCATTTTGTGTAAAGCTGTAAACTCGCAATTTGAGACATAGACACATGACGCAGAGAAATGAAAAGATTGTCTCAAACCATACAGCAAAGGAATTTAAACCATGATTAAATAAATAAGGGTTCGTGGAGGATTTACACCGGAAAAGCAAAGGAAAAGGAATTGTAAACTCTGGAGAAAGTAAAAAAAATTAACTTGACTGAAACTAATTGAATGTAGCATAACAAATGCCACAAGAAAATGAACTAAGGAAGCTTACGACGTAAACAAAATAACTGACCTAAAAGGAGGTCACGCACTAAAGTGGAATCATTTCAGCTGAAATCAGTTCCAGGCCCCCCAAAATGAGAGCCCCTCTGTTTCTCCTGCTTTGAGACAACACGAGTGATAAGTTTTTTCAAGTTTTAACAGAATTAATGTGCCCAAGTTTACAAAGATAAGTACAGGAAGGAAATGACTTTGTAAATTCCGCGTATCTTCAAGTGGATAACTGTAAAGGCATTCAAATCTCATAAAAACATAAACATTAGCAAAGAAGATTATCAACAAGACTACTTCTTGCTTCAAGCAATGCTAAACAATCATGGAAAGAGCTCAAGAAAACTAACAAATACTAGAACTTTACATTTGTTTTTCATAAACAACATTAAGGCTCACAAGAATGCCATAAAAACGTTTGCAATACATACCTTTCTGATATTGCTGACCACTCACAGATTTTTTGGTGGCAGCAGGCCCAACTCGCATAGGCCTAGTTGAACAGAACACCCCATTCATTTCAGTCATGGCACGCATTTGTTCACTCTCATCCCCAAACCTAACAAACCCATAACCCTTGGAGCGTCCAGTGGTCCTGTCTATGACAACTTTTGCACCCTTCACCGATGAATAAACAGATTTAAAGGTTTCTTGTAGCACATAATCTGTGACATCAGCTGACAAATCTCCAACAAATACTGTATAGCCAGGAGTGTCATCTGTACGCCTCTCACCAGCACCAAGAGTGGCCCAGTTCAGCCTGAAATTCTGTTGAGCATTAGGCATCACCGAGCCATTGTATGTCTGTAATGCGGTTTCTGCTGCTGCTCGAGTTCTGAACTCTAGGAATCCATATCCCTCTGTTTCATAAGTTTGCTTGTTACGAATAATCTTCACTGAAAGAAGCTGAAGAAAACAACATTTCCTCAGTACAGAAAAACAAGTAAAAACATCAAAATGGAGGAAAAACAAGTAAGATGAAACTTATTACTGCGATAGGACATATGGCGTCCCTCTCCATAGAATATACTGAGGGAAAAATCCGCAAAACAATTCAAAAGTCTACTGGTGATTGCATGTGTATTTTTATACCCCTAACCTATAGACAATAGTACGAATATGTTGAAATAAAACAGCAAGTCATCTCAGTTTCAAAAAATAAAAACCATTACTGAATAAAACACAGGATTCAAAATTTACTTCCCATATATATATATGGATTTGAACCCAAAAGAATTTATAGTAAATAAGAAATAAATAAAAAAATAATTTTATCTTCCTAAATATGAAAATTTTCGTATTTTAAAACTATGAACCAAGAAGATATTAAAAGATATAAAGATAATTCTTTTTGTTAAATGGTTTTTAACTTTCTATGCTCCACCCACTATGGATCAATTAAATCACTCAAGAGAATTCCATAAAAGGAATTATGAAAAAGAAAAAATTAATAAACTCACTAAAAAACTTAAAGCAAAGGATAAAAAGCCTACTAAATGTGAAAATTTAGGACATAATGCTTCTAAACGTCTAACAAAACAAAAAATAAATGTATTAATATTAGAAGAAGATTTTAAAGATAGTTTTAAATTCAGAAAGTGATGAAACATAATTTTCTTCAGAATCATTTTTTGAGGTAGAAATAAAATTATGTAATATTAATGAAATAAATAGCAATTCATCATCTCATGAAGATCAATCAAAACACTTTAACGAAATCACAAAATAATTATTATAAAGCTATTTTAGACATGAATGGATTAAGCATAAACACTTTAACGAAATCACAAACATTAATTATCAATCTTTTAGATCAAGTTCAAGATCCAGTATCTAAAAAAAAAGCTATTGAGCAATATTTGAAAATAACTCCAAAAGAAAAGAAACATACTTTGTCTCAACCATATTCTTTAAAAGAGGTTCTTAATAGATCCGAAACTATGATAAATACAGAAAAAGAAACTTCGTTGTTAGACCTTAAAGGAAAAGTGAATCAACTTAAAGTTGAAATAAAGACAATAAAACAAAGACTTTTGGCACTAGAGAAGATGTCAATAAAGGATGAAGAAGATATAAAAGAGTTAAACTCTTCTAATTAATACTTAAACGCATCAAAAAAATAACTTTTCAAAAATGGTATGTTAAGATTATACTTGTAAAAAAATTTATTTCAACTTTGTAATTCCTTATTTATCAAACTGCCAAGCACATACCATTTTTGAAAAGTTATCTTTTCTAATACATTTAAATATTCATTATAAGAGTTTAACTCTTTTTGTATCTTTTTCATCCTTTATTGTCATTTTCTCTAGTGTCAAAAGTCTTTATTTTATTGTTTTTATTTCAACTTTACGTTAATTCACTTCTCCTATAAAGTCTTGCAACAAAGCTTCTTTTTTTGTATTTATCATAGTTTTGGATCTATTAAGAACCTCTTTTAACGAATATGATTGAGACAAATAGGTTTCTTTTCTTCTGAAGTTATTTTCAAATATTGTTCAATAGCTTTTTTTAGGTACTGAATCTTGAATTTGACCTATAAGATTAAGAATTAATGTTTGTTATTTTGTTAAAGTGTTTGTGCTTAATTCATTCATGACTAAAATAGTTTTATAATAATTAGTTTGTGTTTGGAAGTGTGACGAACAAGCTTTATCTTGTTCTAATTGATCTTCATCAAATGATGAATTGTTATTTATTTCATTAATATTACATAATTTCACCTCAAAAAATGATTCTGAAGAAGATTCCCCTTCATCACTTTCTGAATTTAATATCTTTAAAATTATTTTTAACATTTTCTTCTAATATTAATTTTTTCTTTTTCATAATTCCCTTTATGGAATTTTCTTCTTTTCTTCTATGGTTTATAATAAATTTTTCTTTTATTTGAAGATTTATCTCTTGAAATATCAATATTATAAGCAAATTGATTACAAAATTTTTCCAACTCTTTTCAATCAGTTAATCTTTGTCTTTAAGGTTTAGATCATTACAGAGAGCTAATCCTTCTAAAATACATTCAAAAATTAATTCTCCATAAGTATAATTTTCATAAGGGATTTTAAATCTTCAATGTCTTTGTTTAAACGAATTCTCTTTTTTTTTAGCAAATAAATTGGACAATCCTGATATGAATTTTTTTTTTTCAAAATTCATTATTAGCATCTGTTCGTAATAAGACTTTTGTCAAAAATATATTTTTATATCACCTAAAATGTGTTAACGTAGAACATCTTAAATTCATTAAGAGTTACTTACTCTTATCTGTACTTTTTAAGCTTGTCCCTACAAAGTATTTTAATATTGTTTGTATTAACGTATAAATAGCATCTTCTTGAGTGGTTATATTTCCATCTTCTGCTGTTATTATTTTTATTGCATTTAATATTTCATGTCTATGAGATAAACTTAAATAGTTATCCCACCGGTCTCTTAATTGACCAGTAAATCCTGCTGTTATAAATTTAACAGTAATATGGTCCGAATTACAATTAGCTTTACAAACAGATGCATATATTAATAGCCAAACAGAAGCCTCGCCGTATATATATATATGAACTAAAATCATACAAAACTGTATAAAATTTTGGTATAAGTCACCACACAACAACAAAAGTAACGAAATCACAATATACAGAAATCAGAAACGCATATGTGTGGCATCCGTCTGAATCCCCCACCCCGCAAAAGGGTGGCGGTTTACAATCCTGTTTAAGCTGTCTGAACTAAAGCCAGTCAACTCGACAAAGAACATCCTGAGCAGTTAAGGCAATTCACTCTTCGAGTTATGGCACATCGACGTACATATATGCGTACACATAAGTATCGACGTACATATATGCGTACACATAAGCATCCACAAATACTTTACCTCTCCAGTATGATAGAAACAATTGGAAACATAATTCTCGTCCATCCAGGGCAGCAAGTCACCGATCCAGAGAGACCGAATCTCGTCGGAGCTAGTCGGCGCAGCCGAGTACTGCTGCGGATGAGTTTGAGCTTGCATCGCCTGCATCTGGTGAGGGGTCGACACCGCCGCCTGAGGAGGCTGCTGCGCCCATCCCATCGACGGTGGTTGAGGCTGAAACTGTTGTTGCGGCGGTGGCATCGCCACCCACTGCTGCTGTGGCGGTGGTTGCTGCTGGTACTGTTGTGGTTGTTGTTGGTACTGTTGTGGTTGTTGTTGCTGTTGATTCATAGGCATCGGAGGCATTGGAGGTGGGATAACGCCATTTGGTTGCATCATCTTTGGATATATGAGAAATAGATACACTGATCCGTATCTATAGATGAGTTGTAATGGTGGAGATAGTCGTAAACCCTAGACGTGGGTGAAAGAGAAATCAGAGGACTCTATTCGCGATAGGGTTATAGACGAATGGGGAGGAATGGAATGGGCCTTGTACCAATGGTGATAAAATACGAACACGTTGAGTCGGTGTTAGTGCAATAGCCTGGGCTTGATGCGCTGGGGACTACGAGTCTACACAGACCAATTCTAAGCCCATTTGTTGTTTTTTTAGGCTTTTTTGGTCGTAGGTAAAGAGGACAGTTACAATTAGGACTCAGTAGTCTATTGATAAGTCGTATCTATTTAGCATCATCTTTGACTCTCATGTAATTATTAAGGAAGGTTTATGATGGAACATTCTTGAGAAGGGTCTAAGATCTGACATGTTTCTTCGGCGCCGAGAACTCTCGAGAAGCTTGATGATGACACGTATTTTCGGTGTCGAGAACACTTTCAGCCTTCTGATGGTAACACGTGTCCTCGGCACCGAGGACACCTTCAATCTCCTAGTTATGACACATGTCCTTGGTACCGAGAATGCATTCTTCTTGTAGTGTTGACACGTGTCCTCAGCATCAAGGACACCTCCAGATTCTTGTTCATGCGTCCTCATGCATGGCTCGGTCTCGAGGATTCTTTCTGACACATCACCTCGACTTTAGGATACATTAATGACCGTTACAGTCCATCAATCTTAGAGTTTGACAATAAGTCATTGGTTTGTCTTTCCCATGAAGTCAAAGTTGCAGAGTGAACGAGACTAGCAACCAAGGGGAGTTGGACACGTGGCATAATGTACATAATTAAAGATAAATTAATAGGAATACCTTTGCTGACATGCAGTTTATCCTAGAGAAGCATTTAATAAATCCCCATAGGGATGTGACGTCCAAGGTGGCTTGAGAAGTCAAGGAGAAGGAACATTAAATGCTCCAAAGTTCGAGTATTTAAGTGCTCAAGGGCCAGGAAAAAAAGGGTATTAAGTGCTCAGGAGGCCGAGTATTTAATATTTGAACTCAATCCCTGCAAAATGGAGGGTGCATTGCCCAATGACTGAGCACCGTCTATTACCTACTAGTCAGTAATAATACAATAATGATGACCTTCGTAGAAGGTATAAATAACTCTCTAAAACTCGAAGAAAAGGTACGCAAAATGACTTCTCACAAGACATACAATGCTTTTCATGTTCCCTTTTTCACAAATCGACTAAATCGTTAGAGAGGATACACCGAAAAACACTCCGGCGCCTTTCTAACCCCTATTTTGAGTGTCAGGAAGCTTCAACGACACGTCGGGATCAATTGAACAGCCCTAAAAACAATTCATCAGCACTCTTTAGGCCCCCTTTTCGCCTCTCTTTGTCATCGGATCGTCAATTTTCAAAGTCAACACGAGTTCAGTAGGAGATAGATATATTTTTATTTATTGATTGTGTGAAAATCCTCGCACACACAGAGTTCAATTTATGGGAGCAACGCGATTTGTTGTTTAACTTTGATGGTATTATAGTGTCAAACTGTTTTAAGTTAGTAGTTATAACTCAAATCAAACATTTTATAGTAGGGGCATCATGGTCACACCTTAGGGAATTCTTATTTACTGGTCACTCATTCCCTTTTTTATGACACAAAAAAAAAAAAAGGATAATTAGGTCAACAGGTTTATCCGATCACATTCCACCACATGTCTTTTATAACCACTTACCAGGTTGAAGCACCAATGTTGGAAGAGATGAAAGCTGTAGTTTTTAGTCAAGGAACGCAAAAAGGGCCCTAGATGGGTTACCTAAATGGTTTACCAAAAGTATTGGAACATTGTTCAAAGGGTGAATAGAGTCTAAATAATGTGAAATGGTAAATAAATATTAAATATTAATTGTTTAATGATTTTTTATTTATTTTTACGTCAATCTAACATTATTATTTTATTTTTATATAACTAAGGATCAAAATATCGTTTCGAAATGGTCAAAATATCTGAAACATTTCTATTTTCAGAAAACCGAAATAAATCAGTTATAAAATTGAAATTCTAATATTTTGAGGTGTTTCGTAATGTTTTGTTATATTTCAATGCATTTGTACAATTATTTCGAAATGTTTCAAGATATTTTATTTTAGTATATTTTGACCAATATTTTGAAAAAATAATTTTTAAATTTTTTATTTATTTTTCATTCTATTATTAAAACGGATCGAAACATTTCTGAAACACTTCAAAACGTTTCTATTTTCTAGGTGATCCAAATAATGCACTGAAACAAAATTTTGATCTTTGCAGATACTCCAAAATTTAAGAATTTTGTATTATGTAATTCCTTATTTCTGGAATATTTTAAGAATTTACATAAAAATAGGGTTTGGTTGTTTCATTTCATATCCTCTTTTAGGAATTAACATGTAAAACAATTAATTGTTTTAGGAATTACAAATCCTCAACTTGACATACGGAGGTTATTGACCGACACCGAAATTACCTATTCTCCGTGATCCAAACAAATCTCTATAATGTATTCTACATAACATGACTCTTGCTGAGAAAATATTTATTATAACAGTAATGTCACGTGATATTATCAGTGAATAATATGTAAATAAATAAAAAAATAGGTCCCACATAGATCAATAACTACCTCTACACGTAAGTTAATAACTACTTAATTTCTTTCCATGTAATCTAATAATTATTCTAGTGAAATCCATCTAACTCATTTAATGTTTTATTATTAATTGATAATACCACGTGGTAATGCTGACATGATATCGCCGTTACAATGAGATGTTGGGCTACCGTGGGTGTGTTTATTTCCTAATTATGTCAATTGGAGAAATCTCTTAGAAATTGTTTAATTGCTTTAATTAGAAAATAATTAGTCCCGTTCAAACGGCATTGACCATATTTACCCAAAGTCTCATCTTTATTCTCCGTCACCTCTATTTTTTGTCATCGACAGATTTAAATGCTATGGGGGCTCGTTTGGTTACCGTATTAAAAATAGATGGATTATATAAAATAATTCAGTCTAATACAATACAGTAGGAAAAAAGACAAGATTAAATAGGGTATTAGAATAATACGTAATTTTATATAGTGTTTGATAATACACAACATAAATGTTGGATAGTAGATATTTAATTCAATCAATTATTTGGTTAGAGAATTATTTCGTCGTATTAATGTTAAATTAAAAAAAATACCCTCAATCAGTATTTGTTATATTAATAACAACTTGATTTTATTTGTTGGAGGCTTATAATAGTAACTATGTAGAATAATTCGTTTGACTTGGATTATAATACCACCTCTCTTGGTGGTATTAAAATATTTTAATAATATAGGTCAATCGTATTAAAAATATACGAATAATATAGATTTTTAAAATTAATACGGTATCAAATTTACTTACCAAACAGTGTATTGAGTTCGATTAAATAAAAAATAGTCCAATCTAATATTTAATTTCTTATAATAAGTCTAACAAACAACCCCTGTATGTATTATAATTGTTTCAGAGTACTTCTTGTTTGTGTGCTGATTCTTGAATTCGGATTCTTTACTTATGACTTGTAAACTCCTATGTGAAGATACTAATTTTGGTTTTTGCTCTGTTTTGGGTTGGCTTTACTTTGCCGAATGCATTGCATTCCAAGTGAGATGCCAAAGAGAAAATGAACGAGGGGAAGAAGACGAGCAATCTATAGCATAAAATTGTGAATGAAAAAATGTGACGAAAGGATTAATTTTCAAAGGTCAGAATATCGATAGACCCATGTCAAGTTGAGCGAGGGTCTGAATCCTTTTTGGGTTTTAAAATTACCCACGTTTAGGTGAAATATAAATGAACTAGTTATTGTCTATGCCTGAAAGTACAAAATAATAAAACACGGTGAATAATAAATATATTTATATTCATATCCAAAATTAACTCATAAACATATAGAAGAGATAAAAGAATTTAAGTATCGGCTTGTAATGGGAGTGAGGGGTAGTGGGCGGCAGTAGTAGTGGTAGGAGACGGTGATATTTGTGGTGGTGGCAGCGAGGGTGGCGACGGTGGTGATGGTAGTAGTGGTAGCGGCGATGGTGGTGGTGGTAGCGGCGATGGTGGTGGTGGTGGTAGCGGCGACGGTGGTGGAGTGGTGGAGTAGTTTCAAATATTATTTTTTAAAAATATTTATAAAAAATAATTTCTATAAGTACTTTTAAAAAATTACTCAAAATACATTCTTAGGAGCCTATTTTTCTTATTAAATTTAGGGTGTTAATATTAACCGTTAGATTAATTTTAAAGTAAAATTTAAAGAGATCTCAAACGTGAATAACAAAAGTCATTTTGTTTATCTTTTTGAGATTTGAATTGTAAACTATTTTATTATATAGATTATTTATTGTCTGTGCCTGAAGGTATAGAGTAAAAAAAGTTGGTAAACAATAAACATATTTGAATTTATATCCAAAATTAAATTACAAATATAGAGAAGAAATAAAAAAATTTAAGCATCAATTTTGTAGTAGGGGTGAAAGTTGGTGGGTGGCAGTGGTGGTGGTAAAAGCCGGTGATGGTTGTGGTGGGCGGTGGTGGTGGGGCGACGACAGTGATGATAGGGATGGCGATGGGGACGATGGAGGTGGCGTGGCGATGGTGGTGGCGGCGATGGTGGCAGTGGTGGCGGGGCGGTGGCAGTGGTAGTGGGGGCAGAGGTAGTGGTGAGACAGTTTCAAACACTATTTTTTGTTTTTAAAGTATTTATGAGAAATAATTTTTAGAAATACTTTTAAAAAATCACTTCAAACACACCCTAATGAGACTATTTTTTCTATTAAATTTATGGTATTAATATTAACCATTAAATTAACTTTAAAGTAAAATTTAAAGTGATTTTAACCACGAATAACAAAAGTCATTTTATTTATTTTTTAAAATTTGAATTGTAAGTTATTTTACCGTATAGATGAAGGTTCATATTAAGAGGGTAACACAAGTGTCAAAGGTGTTGGCTTTGTCTCGAGAATGTGTCAATTATGTCCAACTTGTGTTCCAGTTTTGTCTAATGGCAGAAGTTTTACAAAAAAACTCGGATGATAGTCTTTCAATATGGTCTTTTAATTTCTGACTTGAGGGATTTTGTTTTTAATTTTTTCTTATAAACTATGCTATTTGGTGTCGTTTATTTTCATCTTTCCCATGAAATTTTGATGTTTACGATACTAAACCTCGCTTGCATAATGCAGGAGCTGTTGGTGGGCAGTGACATGTTGAGTGCCTCTGCTGATATAAGATTGAAGAGTAATTGTTTGACATATTTTTGAATTGCGGGCGTGCCAAAGTCCGATTTTTCTGGTTTGGTTATGAGGTTTTTCTATTTCACTATGTAGAATGCTGAGAAATTCAAGCCCAAAACTGTCTATATTGGATGAACTAGTTTCCAAGATACTACAAATAAATGCATGTTTTAATATTCATTATCTTTCCCATGTCTATATTGGATGAACTAGTTTCCAAGATAATATAAATAAATGCATGTTTTAATATTCATTATCTTTCTCATCAGATGGAATAATTTGCTAGATGCAAAACCACCAAGGAAAGAAACCAACACACTGATGACAAGTGAGGAGTCATTTTTATACTACAAAAAAGTCTCTACAGATGCATACCTCTACATCTATGAGCCTCATCTGCTGAACATTGAGGGTATCGGAGTCAACCATGAACACCCTCTTCACTATTCTCCTCTTCCTTCTCCTAATCTTCTTCCTCCTAACCAGGAGGAGAAGATCATCACAGAGGCTCCCACCGGGGTCCCTCGGAATTCCCATCATAGGCCAAAGCCTCACCCTTCTCCGAGCAATGAGAGCTAACACTGCAGAAAAATGGCTTGAAGAAAGAGTGAGAAAGTATGGTCCAATTTCCAAACTAAGTCTCTTTGGCACCCCCACGGTCCTTATACCTGGACAAGCTGCAAACAAGTTGGTGTTCACTGCTGATGGTGGCACGATAGGGAACCAGCAGACAAAGTCGTTGAGGATGATATTGGGTGATCGGAATATTTTGGAACTCAGCGGCGAAGATCATAAGCGTGTTAGAGATGCTCTCGTCTCATTCTTGAAGCCGGAATGTTTGAAGCAGTATGTGGGGAAGATGGATGGAGAGGTTAGGAATCACCTTGAAATGCACTGGGAAGGCAAGGAAAAGGTCACGGTATGTTGTGTAAATTAAACCTGCAAATTCTGGCCAAGTAAATGCATTAAATTGTATTCTGTATTGTGCTATTGCTACCCCCCAACCCTCCTCCTCCTCCTCCACACACACACAAAAAACATACCTAGAATCATCATCAAGAGTTTTTTGAGATGTTCTGTCTCGTTTTTTATTTGACCACTGAACCAACATGTGTTAACAGAGTTGGTGGTGTTTCTGGTAGGTTCTGCCCCTGATGAAGGTACTAACATTCGACATAATTTGCACCCTTCTATTTGGAATAGAACGAGGGTCCCAGAGAGATGAACTTCTCAAAAACTACAAGAGGATTGTTGAAGGAATGTGGTCGATCCCAATCAACTTGCCCTTCACACGCTTCAATCACAGCCTCAGAGCCAGTGCGAGGATCCAGAAAATGGTGAAAGACATTATAGGTGAGAAGAGGGTTGAGCTTGAGCAGAAGGGTGCTTCATCTCACCAAGACCTCATCACCTGCTTGCTCAGCATCCGTGGGGAAGACAACGTCATTTCTGAAAATGAGATTGTGCATAATATTATGCTTGTCATGACTGCTGGACATGACACTTCATCTGTCCTGCTTACCTTTATCGTCCGATTGCTTGCTGATAATCCAACTATACATGCAGCTGTTCTTCAAGGTATACAAGTCCCCCCCTTTTCTGTCTCTCTCTCAAGCATTTTTTTTGTGTTGGAGGGATTCAATCCCTAATTGAATGATCCTCTTGGAGGCCACTTGGGCTAGGCTCATGATGATCCTATAATGAAAAGGAGAGAGGAAGCCTCTTGGAGGCCCTTGAAGCCATCCAGGCTAGGCTCATGGTGGTTGATGACAAAGTTGATTTGAAATTGCAGAACAAGAAGAGATAGCACAAGGCAAGGTCTCTGGAGACTTATTAACATGGGAAGACCTTGCCAAGATGAAGTACACATGGAGAGTAGCAATGGAGACCCTAAGAGTGTTTTCTCCCATATTTGGAGGCTTCCGAAAGGCATTGAAAGACATCGAGTATGGTGGCTACCTCATTCCCAAGGGATGGCAAGTAAGAACAGAGCCCTGCTGCAAGTTCATTTGCATTATATGATTGCAGATTCTAATGGGCAAAGGCATGAAATTAACACATTTTCTATTGATAATTAGATATTCTGGGCATCGTGCATGACTCACATGGATGATAGCATATTCAAAGAACCAGCAAAGTTCAATCCTGCACGATTTGAGAACCAAGCTTCTGTACCTCCTTACAGCTTCGTTCCATTTGGAGGGGGCCCTCGTATATGTCCAGGATACGAGTTTGCAAGGATTGAAACCCTAGTCACGATCCATTATTTGGTTACTCGATACACATGGAAGCTATGCTGCAGTGACAATTTTTTCAGCAGGGATCCAATGCCAGTACCAACTCAAGGGCTTCCAATCCAAATTATGCCAAAGAAACCGTTGTAAATTTGAACCAAATGTAATAACTACTCAGAACAAGTAGACCAGACTTATCTAAATCATAAATTCTGGCTACCTAGACATATATATAAGTTCGGGCTAATTTCACTTTACACCTTGAAAGATATTTCGATTCTCAATTTGTACCATCAATGTTAAGATTTGGTAGCAACGTAGACCTCGCCCAAAATGCTGTTCAATTTTCTGTAATAAATTGAAATACATGAGTTGCAAGTGCTTCGAGCATAAGGATGAAGTGTATTCATCGTTGCAAATATTCGTCTACAATTAATTTAATATCATTTTATGCATCAAAAATACGGTTTCGTTAATCAAATAGAGACCAAGTCTATCATGTGCAACTCCCATGAGACACCAATAGTCTACGAATTTATACATAAACCTGTAACAGAAGAAGCACTTGCAAGTCACGTGCATGCATCAATTTATGACGAAAAACTGAAAGTTACTCTGGGTAAGGATCACATTGTTACCAATTTATAACATTGAGGATGCAAATTAGGATTTTTAATGTTTGAGAGTACAAATTGAGAATCAAAATATCTTTCAAGGTGCAAAAAGTGACATTAACCCTATAAGATCTGGCAGAAGACATTCTGTCAAAAGGACTCCATAGCACATGCTCATCCAACAATGAATTGGACCGACTCAAAGCAGAGAATCTGTGTAAAGAGAAACCAAGCTGGTTCTTCTCCCTCCTCCTCTTCCTCTTATTTTTACCTCTTTTTTTCTACAAACATCAGTAGCATAGCTATGCAAAAGTGACTATTATTTCCATAGTATTATCAATGATTGCAAATGCCAGAAAATAAGAAACAATATTAATTTTCATCTACATCAGATTTCTCTGTTTTTTTGTGATGTAATAGTCAAATTTACAACCAACATCAGACATGTCACGCTATCTTAATTTCGCATCTCGGCAGATGAAACATACAAAATGTATACAGAAGATCAAATTTTAAACGAACCTAGAACTATATCAGCCATTGGCATGTGGCAACTTGAAAAGAGGAAACAATTGAGAAACCTTTCAGCAATCCTTTGGCCTGGAGTATTTTGGGGGCAAAGATGGACACTTTTCATTCATATATGGGTAGGGATCCATAGTATTGTATCCAGGTAATTCCATTCGGTACTTCCCTCGAATTTGACAGAAAGGAAGCTTCACTGTGTCTGCATCATTGCACCACTTAGGCAAGCGGCTTGAATTATTTTCAAAGAACTTGAGTGTATAAGCATCTTTTATCTGCAGTTTACAATGACGTAATTATGACAAAGGTTTTACTCCTAGATCGTTCAAAGATTATTTCAAAAGGAGAGTTGCAATAATCTTGTAGTGTGTGTTTCTTTTTGAAATGGTTCTTCAGTTAACCTAATAAGATAGAGAGGTATGGATGCAATACCGATATTATCAAGTAAAAAATAATGACTAGTGATTTAGTGCAATACAATCACATGATTCTAAACAGCTGAATACTGGACCTATGTTCATTGCATTCAAATAAAAAATCTCAAAATACTCCAAATCATTCTTGGCAAACTCACCGTAAACTCAGTAACTTGAATGGAGCTTGCAAGTGCATCAAATAGTCCTGCTTCCTTGTATATTTCAAGAACAAAAGCAACACAGGACGTTGACTTCCCATCACTATATATCCAATCGTCCTGCTCAGGAATCATTAGCAATTTATCAAAGGAGGACCCCTGCTTTCCAACTTCCACAAGAACTTCAGGAAGAGAGAGACCCTGCACAGGACACACAGTTAGACAAACATTTAAAAATGACCTGAACAATAAGTAAGAATTTATCAAGACAGTAGCTGTTGGAATTTCCCCAAGAATTTAAATTGCTTGGCCTTAACTCACCCATACATATATGTTAGGACCAACAGATGCGTCATTGGACTAAAACCACAAGACAAAAGGTTGCATTCTGATTACGTATATGAAAGAGATGGAAGTGGTTGATGTGTCATCAATCAATGAAGAAATCCCAAACCAACAACTTTATCAGTAACCATATTGTTCATGTGAATCCCATCCATTAAACTACACGTTGGCAAACCTAATAAGCTCTTGAATGTTGTAGCATCCAACCCAAAACCAATTGGCAATGGGTGAAATGGTTCCCCAAATATATGAACGAACCTTGGGTCTACTTAATTTTTCGATGCGGGATATCTCCCTTCACACCACTCTCTCATGTGCGACCTGGACTCACACATGGGCTACAAACTGAAGCGAACTGAAATAGACAAATAAACAGACCGGAGAATTCAACCATCAATTACCCAAGGCCCAACTCTGGTACCATGTTAGAGCATCCAACCCAAAACCAATGAAAAATGGGTGGAGTAGCCATTCAAGTATAAACAAACCTTGGGTCTACTTAATTTTTCAATGTGAGATATTTCTATTCACAGAAAGCAAGTTATTAAGAAACCTGAGTTCCAAGTCGCTTGTTCAAGGCTTCATTCCACATGTTAGCAGCATATTGAGGCTGTATTTGATTCCAAACAGTCATAACAGAAGCTACCTGTACCATGATTGAGCTAATAATCAAAACCAGTGAGTGTAGTAAAGTCCTAAACAGTTCAGCAAATGCAGCAAAGAGAGGGAAAGGGAGAAGGAGAGGGACAGAACAACAACTTCACACCTGCAATCAGCAGCATGGTATTGCTAAGAGTATACAGCTTTTTATTTTTTGAGTTCCTTGTGGCCTTTTTAAATTTTGTTTTGACATAGGCAGAGCTAAAATAGGATGATATCTCTAGGAAGAAATGAATTTCTATTCCCGGCATCATAAAGGGCACACTTTGTCAAACTCCACATTTAATATAATATGAGCAGGAGTGGATGCCACCACATCAAGATCAGCTTTAACTTAGAATCAATTATTTCAAAACTCACTGGATTTCTGGTTCATCTTGCATAAGTAGATAAAGAGAAGTGCAAAGATTGTCGGCATATCATTTAGGAGACAAGGACCGATGATTAAACTTCACAGATTAAATTTGAAATCATAATTTTGAAGTACCTTATATCATTGATGTTACCAAAATGGTTTGCAAACCCCAATGCATCAAAAATTAGAGGAAATCATGCTTCCGGAATAAGGAAATCATTTACCACAAACCATAAAGTTAAATCACAAAAATAGACATGTGGAAATGAAAAGAGCCTAAGATAAGAGTAGAAATGTGTGGGTAAAATGCCTACCTATCTAGCAATTCAATTAGAAATTGAATACTCAAAATAAGAGGAATGAAATACCAGGTTAGCATCCAAAGGTGGTGGATAATTTCTGTCAATGGTGTCTATCCAGCTAAATATTAGGTTATGATAACCATATGGCTTGCCAACCATGCTTCGTGCGTACTCCCATGCAGCAGTCTTATTAAACTTGGCCCTGAGGTCAGCACGCAAAGGAAGCAACGCGATATGTGGATTGGAATCATCTTTGGTCAACTCGAAGTCCCACCATTCATCCCAGGGTAAGATGTCAATAATATCTTCTCCCTAAATGGAATTGTGCAAATCAAATTTTGTTACACTTAATGATCTGAGATATATCAACAAAGAGCTCCCACATAATTCCTTATACAGTGTCACACTAATTCAAAATTGTTACAGCCACAAGTCCAAAATGCATGGTTTAAGTTTTATTTACTCACTTGGGTAAACTTGGATTCAGTTCATTGACCAGAAGTTGTTAGTTTGGGCAGAGATGCCAACCCAATGGAGTGTAGGGTTCAAGCCCCGATTGGGAATGTTTGCCTACTTAAACATAACTACACAGTTTTAATAAATAGTCGCCTAAATACATGTCCACATTCCACAAATAACTCAAGAAAGTTATTTTACAACCCAACAAATGTTGACTTAAAATTGAATTAGCAAGACATCACAACTAGATAACATCTATAATATTTAAGGGGAAGAATAAAACGAAGTTGCTTATGGGAAAACATAAAGGGATAGCTTTAATATTGATTGAATGTGTCATACACAATCGAAAAATTCTAATCAATAAAACTCTAAATACTAGTACACACACACATATCTAAACCAGTTTCTAGACTTTACACCTCCCAATAGGGATGGCTAAAGCATACCACTCAATATAAAAGCTACAATATTATAATTTTTAAATATTGATGGTAGCCCTATGTCCTCCACACACTTGAGTATAAAGTTACAGCATACACTATTGCCAGATTCTTGATTTGGAATGGTACTTGGGTAGAAACTGTAATTGATTGTAGGATGAACCACACAGATCCCTCCTTCTCTATCATACTAAATTAAAGAGTAATAAAGAACCAATCATCAAATGCAAATAGAAGTAGTTTTCAACTTCGCCGGACAATATCTAACACTTAATCCCCATACTTTCCAGAATAAAGTGAAAACAAAATTGCAAACTGTGATCAGAGAAGAGGATAAAATGTAAAAGACATCAATTGGCACCATTAATCTCTTTCTTTTGGTTACTTGCTCCTCACTACCTTCTTATGCTTTAGCATTACTAAGACTTATAAAAATGAGCCTCTTATCACCATGCATTTCCTTATTTACAGTAGAAGCTTGGATTCAAGGGCACACTTTTGGCCTTAAATTCACACAATCTATGCAAAGTGGGAAAAAATGTTGCGAATTTCACTGATCTATAAACCCTAATTTATGAAACTCATTCTTTCTGAAAACCATCTCCCATCTCCCACCTCCCACCTCCCACCTCCCACCTCCTCCCATCTCCCATCTCCCATCTCCCATCTCTTTCCTTATCAAATTATGGTTTGCACAGTCACACAACTTTTTGGATATACGTACAAGCATATATATGGGAATACATATATAGATACACACGTGTGTATACCCCTATATACACATGGAGAGAGAGAGAGAGACACAGGAATGATAGAAAGACATCATGAACAAATAACCAAAAGAATTGGTGCAAATGCTTAACTCTAAATGAG